AGCAAAGTATAAATCACAAATATTTGTAAGTAATAAAATTGGATATATAATATGCATTAATAAATAAGCCTGTGTTATGTAAATTCTTATGTCATACGAGGTCATCTCACATGTCAAGTTATATCATTGCTTCTAACCATCCCTAATTTGGAGAGACTACCCCTAGTATCTCCTCAGATGTCCCTCATTTATCTCTGGTGTAAAGATCTGTATGAATAAACATACTGAAAAACTGAATATTGAAATATGTTGTAAGCTCACCACTCATACTATAATGTGATTGTACAATCTCCTTTAGATATACCAACAAATATGTAGTGTAAGGTCCTTGATTAGATACAAATTGTATATATTAGGTAGGCTCTCATAGTACATAGTTTTGGTAGATCTGAAGTTGGTTTTATAGAAATTGTTGGGTCAGATTTCAATGCGTATGTTGAGCCTTAATGAATAAGCCTGTTCTATGTTAACTATTTTACACAAGATCATACAGAATTCATCCTCAGTCTATATGGAATCAATTCCCTCATTCCCTAATTCTTCTTCAAATATCCATTTTTTATGTCTCGTATAGAGATCTGTATGCATGAAGGTACAATTTAACTGCAGTTTGCACTAAAAGTTTTATCCACCCTAGAGATTATTGTATTAGTTAGTCTTACACACTAAAATAAAGAAAACGTTTAAGGGTTTAAGTGACCATGAATATGATTACTGGTCTTTCTGTTCAGTTTTAATGGAAGAGATCTTTCTGACAAGTTTCAGGGAAGATGTCTTTCTGACCAGTTTCATGGAGGAGGCCTTTCTGACTAGTGTAATGGAAGAGGTCTTTCTGGACCAGATCCATTAAAAGGAGTCTTTCTGACCAGTTCTACAAAAGACGTCTTTATGACCAAATTCAGGAAAGAGATCTTTTTGAGCAGTTTCCGAGAAGGTCTTTCTGACCAAATTCAGGGAAGAGATCTTTTTGAGTAACTTCCGAGACGTGGTCTTCCTGACCATTTTCATGGAAGAGACCTTTCTGACCAGTTCTACGAAAGAGGTCTTGCTGACCAATTTCATAAAAGTGTTCTTTCTGACAAGTTTCTTGGAGCAGGCTTTTTTGACCAAATACACTAAAGAGGTCTTTCTGATGAGTTTCATGGAAGAGGTCTTTTTTTACCAGTTTCATGGAAAGAGGTCTTTCTGACGAGCTTCATGGAAAAGGTCTTTTTGACGAATTTCATGGAAGAGGTCTTTATGACAAGTTTCATGAAAGAGGTCTTTCTGACCAGTTTCATGGAAGAGGTCTTTCTGACCAGTTTCATGGAAGAGGTCTTTCTGACCAGTTTCATGAAAGAGGCCTTCCTGACCAGTTTCATGAAAGAGGTCTTTCTGACCAGCTTCACGGAAGAGGTCTTTCTGACCAGCTTCACGGAAGAGGCCTTTCTGACCAGCTTCACGGAAGAGGCCTTTCTGACCAGCTTCACGGAAGAGGCCTTTCTGACCAGTTTCACGGAAGAGGCCTTTCTGACCAGTTTCACGGAAGAGGCCTTTCCTTTCTGAGAGGTTTCACGGAAGAGGCCTTTCTGACCAGTTTCATGGAAGAGGCCTTTCTGACTAGTGTAATGAAAAAGGTCTTTCTGACCATTTTTATGAAAGAGGTCTTTCCGACCAGTCTCATGGAAGAGGTCTTACTGTCTAGTGTCATGCAAACGCATTCACTCCTGCTTTTGTCTGAGTGTTGGTCATTGACCTCAGATGACAGCTGGTTGTGCTAGTGTGATTCGAAGAGGCCTTTCTACAATTAAATGTGCATGCTTGGGTTGTGTAATCGCTGCATGTTTATGCTGTGCAAGGGAATTTTGGGTGGGTTCATAACGATTAACCTCAATTTTCAAGGCTGATCGATCTTCCTATTCTGAGAGTAATTAGTGGTCTGCTACTCAGATGAACTTGATATTTTTATCCAGTGTATTATATTTATATACAACCACCTTTACCCAACATATAGTACATGTTTTCAGGCTAATTTCTAAAGCGAAGGAGTGCGCAGACATATAGAAATCAAACAGACCATCTCACCTTTGTCAAATAAATAAAAAATATTGTTAGGTTACCAAAGGTGAGTAGTGAAAACTACTATGACAATACACACTAATTACACTTGCCTGACTGTTCAGTGTCCTCTAGCATCTTATAGGCTACAAATTGTCACACTGTCATCTTCTCTTTGATTTCTCAGCAGGGAGAAGCTAAATAGGCTGCATATTTACAACCCACTCAGTTAACTTTTTATTTGATGTGTGTATCCCAAGTTTTTTTGATCTGTGTATCCCAAGTTTATTTCTAACAACTTTTCATATGACATATACTTGTATTTTCACACAGAGGTGTAGGAGAATAACACTTTGATTCCATCGCTACATTCCCTTGGAACACTTTAAATGTTATTTATGAGATGTAAAGAATTGAATGAAGAACAACCCTAAAGCAGTGTTCAGTAAAGCAGCTAATTTATTTAAATTGTCACACGTTACTTATAAAATATGACTTTCATCTCCTGAGAGAGTGTTACAGCAGCACGATAAATAAGGAGTGATATCTGATTCCAATGTTTGTAGTACATAATTATAGAATGTTCTACTTAACAATAGGTAGGAGCACCTTTTAATTAAAGCACATTTCATTTTCTGCAAATTATATTTTTCTGTAAAGCCTTTACATGTGAAGGTCATCAGTATGGTATGCTTGGCAGCGGAAATAATTTTTCATATATACACAGTGAGCAGGTGAAGTCACTGTTTTTACATATATACCAAATTTACATATACTGGTATTTTTACAGTGAATTCAAAGAATCAACAAACTTAAAGTGGAACAAAAACATTAAAAATAAGTGCCTATACTGTTTAAAGGCCTGGTTCACATATGTGCGGCTGTGTGGGCCACTATTTGCGCAGGCATGAGAGCTCATTTATTTGAATGGACTCCCGTGCCCCAGGACACGCAGGGAAGAAATCCCTGCACTTCTTTGGAAATTGCAGCCCGCATGGGAACCTAGGTTCCCATCACGGTTGCAATTTCCAGTGCGAGCGGCCTGCCATTAGAATTAATGGCACCCACCTGTGGGTCCTGCATTCTTCTGGGTGGTGCGGCTTCAGGTATTTGTGCGGGTCCCACAGTGGCACCACCCACACAGATGTGAACCATGCCTAAGGCCAAGTCTCGTCCTGCTCTGCACGTGCTCAATTGCTCTCTATTCTCAGCATTATGCCTAAAACCAAAGCCATTGGGGGCTGACATCTTTAAGATTTACTGTTGCTAAAGGGGGAAGAAAGCAGGAATGACACAGATTGTGTGGGGGATACACAGATTAGGGAGGGAGGAAGACAAGGAGGAGAGGTGACAGGACTAGAGAGACACAAAAGAGTTAAACCTACATGGCTAGTGTCTTATCTCCCTAATAGTCTCTCCTTTTTCCCTCATGGTCAGCCTTTGAACCTCAGCACTGTAAAGCTTCTGTCAGCCTTCCTTTCTAACTGAGCCAAGACATGTAATCAAGTCTGGAAATGCACACATTTTAATTGAAGAAAGTGAAATAATAGTTTTTGAGACCAAGGAGAGGGGGTGAGAGTTTCCAATAAGGAAATGCTTGCTCCGGGCTTCAACAAAATGGCAGCCTCCAGCAAGAAGAAGCAGGAGCAATTCTGGAGGCAATTTACAGCTCACAATAATTTGGCAGCATAATTAATAATATGGAATGCATGTTCTTTTGTTAAACACGTCTGGACTGCACACTACAGTTTTTTACTGCGGCAAGGTGGCCCCACTGTACCAGACCACATATATGTACATTATCCGGCACTTCCGGGTAGGGGGCATGTGCACGCTCACATGCAACCTGACCTGTACTGTCATTCATTACAGCACAAATTGGTCAGCAGGTCCCAGCCAATGATTTATGGCCGGGACCTGATGATTGACGTAGTGAATGACAATACATAGCCCTGTGTTGACAACAACACAGGGCTCTGTACAGACAGCAGTGATATGGCTGCAAAGCAGGGAGATAAAACCGTCAAATTGCTTAGTAAAACAGCACATATTACACAGTTAACTATCTGATTGCCCCTAAAAATGTTAACCTTTTCCCAGCCAGTGTTATTAGTACAGTGACAGTGTATAGTATCAGCACTGATCACTGTATTAGTGACACTGGAGATGTCAGTGTCATTTAGTCAGTTCCCACCTAGTGTCAGTTAGTGTCAGATTGCCCTACACACTATTACAGTCCAACTATAAGTCACCGATCACCGCCTATTACAGTCCAACTATAAGTCACCGATCACCGCCATTACTAGTATAAAAAAAATAAATAAAAATTCCAGTATATATACACCATAGTTTGTAGACGCTATAACTTTCGCACAAACCAACTAATATACACTTCGGATATAATATAACATTGGGATTTGTTTTTACAGAAGACGTAGCAGAATAAATTTTATCCTACATTTATGAAGAAATTTGATTTTTCAAATTTTTTTGGGGTTTTTGTATTGGATATGTTTTTAAAAGAAAATAAAAAATATCTGTGCTTTTTTTTTTTTTTCAAAATGTTTTGTTTGCTCCCTTTTACATAAAAAATAAAAAACCCAGTGGTGATCAAATATAGTCAAAAGAAAGCTCTATTTGTGTGAAAAAAAATTATTTAAATCTTATGTTACAGTGTTGCTTGATCGTTCAATTGCTAGTTAAAGTAAAGCAGTGCAGAATAGCAAACAATGCCCTGGTCGTCAAGGGGGTAAAATCTTCCAAAGCTCAAGTGGTTAAAGAACATTAATTGCTATCAAACTGCTAATAGAAATGGAACTGCATGTTCATGTTACATTCTGGTCATATCTGTCTCATGTGCACATGTCCTGTTTGCATTTGAGCCCTCATATTACAGATCTAGACACATCTGTTTCATAGTTACGTACCCTTCTGTATTTACAGTTTACCCTCTTCTTGCCAACATGGCCCGCGATAACCATGGAAGTCCACAAGAGGACGCCGCCTTGGTCAGCTTGTCTCCAAGTACCTCCAGCTCACCTCGACCTCCCCGTCCTGTCTCTGACCTGCCAGGTAATTAAATTCCTTCTGACAATGGTTCATATATGGTTTGTTGAGGTTGAGTATACCATATAAAGCCAGATTTCTAAACTTTAAATTTGCCTCTGAAGTACAAGTTACCCCAGCACCCATAGCTTCAAGCTGTTGTTTATTTGTAGGGATTGTCACTTGTGGAACCAATCCTTCTGTCCACTTTTTTCTTCTTCAGTTCCCTCTTTCTGGTCCAGTATATAGAACTGAAAAAATGTGCTATTTAAAGTGATTCTAAAGACTTACGTTTAAAAAATAAAAATAACAAACGTCATACTTAACTGCTCCTTGCAGTGGTTTTGCACAGAGCAGCCTGGATCCTCCTCTTCTCGGTCCCCCAGCCCTGTTGAGTTTAAAGCTGAACTCCAGGTATGATCCTAATTGCATAATTACTTTGGTCCAGCTCGGACCATTGTATGTATGCATATTCATACATGAAAGACCACCGGGGAAGCTGACAATCCTTGCCCCTTCCTCAGCTTGCTATGGGGCACCCAAGCATGCGCACTCCCCAGCCATTGCTCTGAGTCCATTCACACATGGAGTCGTGGCTTGGCCCCATCACCTCTCTCTTATTGGCTCACTGGCTGTGATTGATAGAAGCGGGAGCCAATGGCTCCTGCTGCTGTCTCAGCCACTGAGGAGAGGGAGTCCTGGGAAAGCTGACACTCCAGTGCACATCGCTGGATTGAGAGGGGGCTTAGGTGAGTATTATGGGGGCTGGGGGGGATGCTGCACAGAGAAAGTTTTTTATCCTCATGCATAGAATACATAGAAAAAAACCCTGAGCCTTTACAACCACTTCAGGTGACACTGTTATCATTAAAATATCACTAAAAGCACTTCCCTGTGAAAGAAGAGATATACCTACCTCTCTGGTAGTCTTTATGTTCTCTCTTAGCTTTGTTTAACCACAACATCCTTTCTCAGCATTCAACACTAACAGGATTGTCCAATGTCTTTGTTCCCCATTGTACTTTGTGACATGACATAGTAGTAATGTGGGGTCATCGGATGAAGTCACAGTATACAGTGGGGGAGGGGGGGCACAGGCATCCAACACTCCTGGAAGTGGCAAATGCTGATAGTTGTGACAGAGGCTGTAATGATTCTACAGGAAGCACATAGCAGAGAGGGATGTTGAATGTTAGTATAAGAATACCTCTCTTATTTTGCAGAGATGCTATTAGCTTTTTCTTTTTGAAGAGGATAGTTCTACATTAACCTAAAAAAGTGGTCTGCTGCACTAATGCAGGCCATAGACGTGGAGAAAACCGGACGTTTTTTTTTTTTGGAAAAACGAAAAATCGGTCGTTCAATCAGCCGTTGTTACCACCATTGGTAAAAAAAAAAGTCGGCTGATTTTCGTCCCGTCTATAGCCGGCAATTATATAGAATATGCAGAAGAAGAAGAAATAGAATATGAATAAATAGAAGAAATAGAAATGAAGAAGAGAAGAAATAGAAGAAGAAAAAGGTGCAACATTGTATCTATTTGTATCCATTTCGGATACAGATGTTTCTATTCGGATACAAATAGATACAATGTTGCTATACTTTTTAATGTCAAATATAATATCGGACTGAAATTCTTTTTTTCTCTTCCTCTTCTTCATATTCTATTTCTTCTTTTTCTTCTTCATATTCTATTTCTTCTTCTTTATATTCTTCTATTGCTTCTTTTTATTCATATTCTATTTCTGCTTCTTATTCATATTCTATGTTTTTCCTTTTCTTCTTCTCCTTCTTCTTTCATGTCACTGCTCATGCGCATTTTTTAAATTGGAAAAAGATCGGCAGATTTGTCCATCATTGCCGCAAAAATCGTCAGAACGACAAATTTGGGTGATTTTCCAGCAGGACCGATAATCGAAAAGGGCAAAAATCACTAAAAACGGCCGACCCGATTACCGCACAAACGATCTGAAAATCGGCCGATTTTTTTTTTTTTGGACGATTTGCGGACGTTTTTCATCCCAACTATGGCCCGTATTAGTCTTTCATTCTACTTCTAAATGATCACATTTGTTATTTTAAAAATCAGTATAAAGGAGAAGCAGTAGTGGAAAAAAGCCCTTTTGAGTTTAAAGCTGAACTCCAGGTATGATCCTAATTGCATAATTACTTTGGTCCAGCTCGGACCATTGTATGTATGCATATTTCATACATGAAAGACCACCGGGGAAGCTGACAATCATTGTAGTAGCCGGCACACCTGTGACACTCACTGTAGCAGTTAATGAATACAAAGCATTCTCTGATTGGATGGGGTGGAGATCATGATTTCACCACCCTTCTGTCCCACCTTCACCAGTCAGACAACACTTTGTATTCATTGAAAAAAAATTTAAAGCGCACTGTAAATAGCAGTGCTGTCGCACAAGCAACCCCCTGTGGTCAGTATGCAATGGGACAGCCACTCAGCACAGAACCCAAAAGATCATGGCTATCATTGTAGTAGCGCCAACTACTACAGTGACTGCCAACTTCCCCAGCAATCTCTCAGGTATGAGATATACATACTTACATTGGTCCAAGCTGGATCAATGCAAATATGCACTAAAGTTTAAGTATGCACCTAAGATCGGTTCAGCCAATTATTTTTTGCATATATATTCTTCAAGGTTTCTTTAAATGGGGGTATTGTAGGGATGTGTCCTTTGCCTGCTTATATTCTTTATAAGAAATGCCCCTTGTTCTCATATCATAACTTTGGGTGGTTGGCTGCACCTATTGGTCAGATTCAGAGTTAATAAGTGGTGATCAATATTTTGTTTTCCCCAGATGAACTTGTACAGGCTGGATGGGAGAAGTGCTGGAGTAAGAGGGAGAGTCGTCCTTATTATTTTAATCGTTTTACCAATCAGTCACTTTGGGAGATGCCTGTCCTTGGCCAGCATGATGTCATTGTAAGTACCATTACCAACATCATAACACAATGCTGAATATTTTGAATTGCCTGTTGCTTTAGTTTATTTCATTGCAAAATAGGTATGTACAGTAATACCTCGGTTTACGAATTGAATTCGTTCTGCAGAACTTTTTGTATAGCAAAAAATTAGTAAACCGAAACACCGTTTCCCATAGGAATGCACTGAAAACCAATTAATCTGTTCCGGAGGTCAGAAAAACAGTAAGCGCTACTAAAATTCCGCATGAGTTATTTTATTAAGTCATGAGGTATTTTAGTAGTGACATCCATGTGTTAGTGTTTCAGCTGTCAGTGGGGTTCCCCACTGACAGCTGAATGTAAAAGAATTGCCAGCAATTAAAAAAATTATTTAAAAAGCGGCGTGGGATTCCCCAACCCATCCATGCCAAGCCCTTCAGGTCTGGTATGGATTTTGAGGGGAACTCCCATGCCAAAATTAAAAAAAAAAATGGCGTGGGGGTCCCCCTCCCAAAATCCACACCAGACCCTTATCCGAGCATGCAGCCTGGCAGGTTAGGAAAGGGGGGGATGGACGAGCGAGCGCCCCCTCCTGAACCATACCAGGCCACATGCCTTCAACATGGGGGGGTGCTTTGGGGCAGGGGGGGCTCCCCCCCCCAAAGCACAAAGCACATTGTCCCCATGTTGATGAGGACAAGGGCCTCTTCCCCACAACCCTGGGCTGTGGTTGTGGGGGTCTGTGGTTGTGGGCTTATCGGAATCTGGAAGCCCCCAGATCCAGGCGCCCCCTATGTCAGTGCGTATGAAAAAAAAGTTCCGCACTTGACGCTGGCTCCCGCTGTCTGCCTGCTCCAGTGGTTTGGCAGTTCTTAAGTATGTCAGGGGCGGGGTCACCCGGGGACATCATCCGAGTGACCCCGCCCCATGTGACATCATTGATGTCACGTGGGGTGGGGTCACATGCAAGATGTCCCCGGGTGGCCCCGCCCCTTACGTATTTAAGAACTGTCAAACCACTGGAGCAGGCAGACGGCGGGAGCCAGCGTCGAGTGCGGAACTTTTTTTTTTCTTCTTTTTTTCGGGTCGGCGGCAGCGGCGGGCATTGTGATTAACGTTGGATCTACTGCAGGGGATATTCTTTTAGATTTTTCTTTTAATAAAGCACTTGTCAAAGACCGTGTCCTGTCTTTTTTCACACTATACTTTTTGTTTTTTTGTAAATGAGTATGGGGTAGCATGTACCGCATACTCATTCACATGGGGGGGTCCTTATTAAAGGGGGCTTCCAGATTCTGATAAGCCCCCTGCCCACAGACCCCCACAGCCCAGGGTTGTGGGGAAGAGGCCCTTGTCCCCATCAACATGGGGACAAGGTGCTTTGGGGGGGAGCCCCCCTCTGCCCCAAAGCACCCCCCCATGTTGAGGGCTTGTGATGCCTGGTATGGTTCAGGAGGTGGGGGCGCTCGCTCCCCCCCCCCTTTCCTGACCTGCTGCGCTGCATGCTCGGATAAGGGTCTGGTATGGATTTTGGGGGGGGGGGGGGCCCCACGCCATTATTTTTTTAAATTTTGGCGTGGGAGTTCCCCTCAAAATCCATACCAGGCCCGAAGGGCTTGGTATGGATGGGAGGGGGAACCCCACTCTGTTTTTTTTATTTTTTATGGTGCTGGTTTTTAAATGTAATTACTGCTTTTTTTTTTTTTTTTTTCTTGAGCTCAGAAATTCAGCTGTCACTTTTCCCCCAGCTAAAAGAGAGAAAGTTTTCTTTTAGTTTATTTCCCCAGGTTAAAGGAAACAATGTTTCCTTTTAGTGTCTTAAAAGAAACAGTTTCCTGTAACTCCAGAAGGTGACAGCTAATCTTGTGAGATGTAGCGAAAAAAATCAGTACAGACATACACTTCGTATTGTGTAAAAAATTCGTAAACCGAGGCATTATTTTCAATGGATTTTCATTCGTAAACTGAAAATTACATAAACCAAGGTACCACTGTACAGTATTTTTCTTGTATTTATCTTCACAGAATGCTGTTTCTGTATGAGCCAACACTGTCAAACGATTAGGGCTTTCATTCAATATCTTTATTTTGATTTTTAAAAAGCTCCACCCGTTTGTATAGTCTGGTAAACTTTCTAAGGTGATCATGCATAGCCTGATAATTAAATGTACTGGACCTTACAACTGAGGGCTTTGTGTGTGGAATGCATCAAGGCCCCTTACTTGGCTACTTCTGTGCACCTGTTTATATCAATGAATTTCAGTCTGGCAGTGAGCAGCACGGGAGCTGCTTTGTAGATTTTTTGTAGCCATAGGCTAATTTTTAATAGTGCAGCTGATCTGAAAATAGCTTGTGTTCATTAGTCCTTATAGGAGTTCAGAGCAATAATCAATGTTGTGGAAAAGCTTGTTGCTGCTCTTAGAGATCATATACAGGAGATTACCCAATGCCGGTTGTTCTTTTTCTTTAGAGAAAGGGGAATAAATCTTTATTCATGAACGTACCACATTGTTCTATTGGCTGAGCTGGGAGAAGATCACAGCAAATCCTGATGGCCAAGCAAATGGAGAAATGTATTCACTAGGGTTGAGGTCAGGGCTATGCATGAGCCACTCGAGTTCCTTCACTATAAGCTCATCACACCATCTATTTATGGACCTGGACTTGTGTAAAGAGGCACAGTCATGCTGGAACAGAAATTGGCCATGCCCAAATTGTTATCACAAGGTTGGAAGAACCTTTCTAAACCTTTTTAAAGTGGTAGTAATCTTCTCCGCAAGAAAAGAAATAAAACATTTTCCCTGCAAGTTAATATCATAATGTCCTAGTATGCATCGCCTACTAGCACATTATGAAAGACATACCTTCAAACAAAGCTCTCCAGCCACACACTGTCACCACTGACAGGGCTTCCATCTTCACTTCCAGACTCACGGGCTCCAACAGTTTGAACGGCCAATCCACAAAGACGTCGCTCCCGTGCATGCGCATGGGAGCCACGGCACAGTGCTCCGAAGGGATGGCATGCAGATTGCTGAATTTCTATGTATGTTAAGTGTATTATTTATATGTGGCACCTACTGTATTATTTTTTGCATAATAATTCTTTTGCACAGATCTGTCGCTGACTATGATTTATATAGATTTTTGATTAAGGGATAATGAGATTGATTTGAGTGCTTCACTTTTATTTATTTTTTACTTTATGCACCGGCGACGTCACCAGTTGCAAAAGTAATGAATATCTCCTAAACAGTGCACATTTAGGAGACATTCCTTGAACCTACAGGTAAGCTTTATTATAAGATTACCTGTAGGTACTAGTGAGCTAGCTGTGTTTACTATGGCTTTAACAAAGAAGTACTCTTGAAAACTTTCAGGTCCCAGCAAATCCCTGCTAATAATTACTGTATCCACAGCTCATGGCTCATTGGCTTTAAATTGGTGCACATTGGGATAAGGATCCCTTTAATTTGGTGGTCATTGAGAGAAGGGCCTCCTTACAAAGGTTGCAGTGAAATGAATGATCCTTACATTGATGGTCAGTGAGAAGAATGCCTCCTCCCCTATTTTGGAGATCAGTGGAAAGAATGCTTCTGACATTGGTGGTCAGTAGGAAAAACTCCCTTTATATTTGGTGGTCAGAAGGAAGAATGCCCCCTTATAGATAGGAGGAGCGAACCATTTGTATTTTTACCTATCAACTTTTCCCCACCCTCCCACTGTACACCTCATATCCTTCCATCTACATCCCATTCCTTCTTGCTTTTCCCTCTATCACCATACTTCGCACCCTTTCCCCATCCTGTATCTTCCCAGGACTTTTATATAAAATTTGCACATAAATTAAGACCCGATTTATTTGCCAAATAGTTTATTATAGGACAAGCCATTTTACAGTATTAAATGGAAGACTATTCCTTCAAAGCTTATATCTATTAGTGTTGTATCTGTGTTATTTACTATGAAAGGCTAACTATTGTACCACTCTGATTATTTGTCTTCCTGTTCATGAATTGGCTTGTCTTGTCATGCTATTGTTGAGTGATGTTCTGAACCCTAGTTGAGAAAGGCTGGTCTAAAATGTCTTTGTAGAGGAAGATGAAAGAAAGAGCGCACAAACCTTGCACATTACCTCAATAAATAGTGACTAATTTTATTAATAAGGAAATATACTCACAAAATGTAAAACAGGCTGAACTGCTGTAATACTGACACTCAGTGGCTGAATATCTCCTTGCCATGGGAACTCTGCCATACTGAAGTTTCTATCTGCCAAACCCAGCTCTGTTGAAGAAGGGAACACCCTTCGAAACGCGTTAGCCTTCATACCCCCCCTTTTTGATTTACCTGTAACCCTGTTTGGATTATGGTTACTTATGCCTGTTATACAATCATTTTGTGAGTATATTTCCTTATTAATAAAATTAGTCACTATGTATTGAGGTAATGCGCAAGGTTTGTGCGCTCTTTCTTTCATCTTCTTCTACAGTTTTATCAAGCTTCCCCAGCTTCATGATAGAGCTGCACAACCTCAGATCACCAGTGGATGAACACACAACACGCTGCTTGTCACTAACGCCTGTTTGATCTGAGTCCTTGAGCGCAGGAGATAATGGATCTTTGGTGACTAAAATGTCTTTGTAGCTGTGGTGTTTACAGTGCCCTGTACTGAAAAAACCCTGAAATAATTTGGAGGCGTATCCGCATACGTTTGGCCATAGTGTAGGTATGGTGGTCAGGTGTCCACTAATTTGTGGCCATGTAGTGTACATCTTTGGATAGTAAGCTTGTCAGGCTGAGCTCCCTCCTATTGTATATTGTTGTTATATAGGTTTTGTTGCAAAAATGTATGCACTGGTCATTGTAGTCATTTTGTTGGTTCACATCTATTTTATAAAACTCTCTAGGAGATGATGGCGCTATATAAATTAGTAATAGTAATGAGATAGCTGTCTGTTCCAGCAAAAAATGGCTGGGTGATAAATTTGTCATTTCTTTTCTGTGGGCAGCCTGAAGATTTACTACAGGCAAAGTCTTTTTTATACTTTATCTTAGAGTGGGAAAGGATTTGAATCATTGTTTGGTTTTTATCGCTGTGTCCCAGTTAAAGAATAGGTTCACCTTTTAAGAAAAAATAATAAGTGCACATTTTTTTGCAGGTAAAAAAATTGTGCATTTATTATTTTTTGTTTGTGGAGCCTAAATCATTGCAGCAGATCGTTGGTGCCATGCAGGTCTCCCCCTGACCTGTCAGTATGTCTGCTTGCTTGTACATCCTGTACAGGAAAGCAGTTACTTAATGACAGGAAGGCTCAATGAACTACCACGGCACTGGAGCACCGTGGTAGTTCACTGAAAACTACAAGCCGACAGCCACAAAGGATGCCGGGACTTGTAGTTTTCCTATTCACAGAATACCTTGAACGAGTGACGCAGCCCGGCGGATGCGGCTGCATTTTTTAAAAATTGTGACAGCTAGTGGGCAGGAGAAGATCCATCGCTAGCTGTCACCACAGGGATTGGGGTTTGCGGGAGCCAGTCTGATTGTAACATGTTATGAATATGGGTGTTGTAACATGTTACAAAAGGTAAAGTGAAGGGATATTTCCCCATAATGAGGGGATTGTCACTTTTGACAGTTTTCTATCGCACAAGTGTGCCCATTGAGAAATTTCCGCTCCCCTGTTCAACTTGTAGTTGTGGATTCCCTTCATTCAACAGGACAGTAAGCCCTGATTCACACCAGTCCAAATCACATGACAAGTTGCACCCTGTTTGTGCATATGGAACCGTTCAAATCAGTATGACTCTGACTTTGCGGTGCGGCACCAATTTTGAAAAAAAGTTTCCTGCACAATTTTTGGCGATTTCATGTGCAGCTTTCATAGACCAGGGGTATGGAAATTTTTGAAAAAACTGCTTGTCTAGGGACTAAATCTGGGCCCCAGTCTACTTGTCCCTCATGATAATCTACTTGTCCTAATAAAAAAAATGTTTTGTTAACCAAAACCCTATTTAAATCGGAGATGATTTTAGGAATGTCTGGGGCTTTTAAAAACAAAAGGGGCTTTATGGTGACTTAAATGGGTAATATTTTTAAAATTGCGCTGTTTATCTAATCCTCCCCTCCCTGCCTGTCTCCAGCACCTCACCCGGGGACTAGCAGGGAGGAGAGAAACCTTGCAGTGTAATCAGCACCGATTGGCTGCTCCTCAGGAAAGGGTGGATCAGGGCTTATACTTTTTCCCTTTCACTGCCAGAGCCATTTTTGCGTTTTTTGCACATGTTTAAAAAATTATTTTAGGCCTGAAGATTACATAAAACCCCCAAACATGATATATTTTCTGAAAGCAGAGACCCTAGAGAATAAAACAGTCAAAAAAAAAAAAAAATCGCATGATTTTACCGCAACATTTTATTAAAAAATACAAGTTAATTTTAGGACACAAAAAAGCAATAAATTACCCCATTTTTTGTAAAATATAAAAGACGAGGTTGCAGCGAGTAAATAGATATCCAACTTGTCAAACCTTAAATTTGTGTGCGATCATGAAATGGCAAAGAACTTCAGTACCCTATATTTTCTATAGGTGACGCTTTTAAAGCTCCTTATAGGTCACCAGTTTAGCGTTACGGAGGAGGTCTGGTGCTAGAATTATTGCTCTCATTCTGGCGTGCGCAGCGATATGTGACCTGTGCATCACAATCGACAGTTTCATGCATAGGCGCCCCAGCGTGTGCTTTTACTTTGTACGTCCGTATATGTGGGGGTCTCAATATTCTTTTGGGGGGGGATGGTATTTGCTTGGGTGTAACTTTCATTTTTTACAATTAAAAAAAAAAGCTTTTTTTTTTTTTCCATTACATAGGGGACAAAGTCCCCTATGTGATGATTTTTGGTGACAGGTTCTCTTTGAGACATCCAAGGTCTAAAAGACCCTGCATGTCTCCCCTCTACTCCACTGAATGTAATGCGGTGCACATCGCACCATATTACATTCTTTCCCGGGGATTGTAGTACAATCTCTCAATGGGGACTCGGAAGTGACATCGTAACGTCACTTCCGGGTCAGCACAAGAAGGGGAGGGGTACGGACTTGTCCGCTCTTCTCCCTCCCCTCTAGCCGACGGCCAACCGGGCCCGTAGATGGGCAAGCGGAGCCCGGGAAACCTCACGCCAGGGGCGCAGAGAGGCTGGCACTGTGTGAAAGCAATTGGTGGCAGCCTTGCCGCTGATTGCTTCACCTGACAGGTGAGCCCTGCTGCTTGCCCGCAGCAGGGCTAAAGGTAGAAAAAAACTACCTGCCCAGTGCCCGAAACTACATGTCCCGGGCATCGGGCGATAGGAATCCAACATCCCTGTAGACATCTGTGCAAGTCGCACAGATGTCAGGCAAGCAGCACATGAAATCGCACTACTTCAAGTGAATTGCATTCAGTGTAAACCAGGGTTAGATGAGGGAAAATGTCTCAACAGGAACGCAGACAATAATTAAAACCAGATGTTATAATCCCTCCTTGCCTTAAAGTGGTTTTAAACACTTACATATAACAAGTGAAGTGACTAGGCTCAGGTGGTACACAAAGGTGAAACAAATCTTCCTACATGAGTTGTACCTGTGTATCTACGAACCTACATCCATTCAAAGTGCAGAATTTACACAGGATCTCTCAGCTCTGAAAAGCAGGGGGAGGGGAACTGAAGTTATATTAGTGAGAAGAGCTCTGAGAGCTGATTGGAGGGAAAGGACACCCCCCTCCCCTTCACACAGCACAAAGTGAGGCTGTGTCAATTACAGGCTGTGCCCTCCCTGTCACTATTTTTCTCTTGGTGTCAGGAAAACTAACCAGAATTGACTCATGCTGATAGCAGAGGAATGAATCAGCAAAGTGTGACAGCACTGAAAGCCTGGGCATGAAGGGGTATAAGTGCCCGGTAGGCAAGTGGTTAAAGGGTGCAGAGAGAGCTGTTACAGAGGCGGAAAGTCTGAAAGTTAGACCATCCTTACATTATTATCTTTCTAAGTCAAACAGTTTAGGTTTAAAGAAACAACATATTTTTCTTTTTACACTTTTTGCACTCTAGTTACTTAACTTTCTCACACAGCATTAGTTTAACAGAATTTATTTCAGAAAGAATGACGGCAAGCTATAGTGTGTGTGAAATTGTCAGTGTAGAATTATATAGCTGGGAGGATCACCAGGGCAAGCCCATGTTTATGGTACCTCCTTTAACAAGTGTGACCTAGGCTTCAGAATCATATAGCTATGGGAAGTGTTGGTATCACTCATCTGCAGTGTGTTGCTAAACCTGTTTTCCAGTCTTGTGTATTGGGGTTTTTTTTGAGCTTGCATTCAACTTTATAGCAGCAAAGCTGGTCTACATTGTTTCTCTTCTACGAAAAAAAGGTAAGATTTTTTTTCATTGTATTTAGGTCCTTTTATTATAATGTCCTTGAGCATTACATACTTTGGCAGAAACAAAGTTACAAAGTCATAAATTTGTTTTACATACAGCTGACAAAAGTACTTGGATCTACTTTGGGGTCAACCTTCTGCCATCTACAATTAGTTTAATAGTATCTCAGGAGGCTTTGAACATAAAGGTTGGAGAGCCGGGGAACTGTATAATAATTTTGCTTTGGTTATTCTTTCCATATATTTATGTTCTCTTTCAGCTACTTTGCTGCTGACACAAATTGTATTGTGTTCAGCTGAACGATTAAACAGCCATTTGTGTCAAGAATGGAACCATCAAATGATCAGTGGATATTTTCTGGGTTGAAAATCTCTACCACTGTCACTGCCCTTTGTGCCAGCCCCTACATTACTGCGTCATTACCACAACCTCGTGGATCATCTATATTACTGGTGAATTAAGGGCAATGCAAGGCATAAGAATTGATACCCAGACCAGTCAGCCAAGCGTGCCCGGACCATATCTAAACTCTTTCTTTTTTAATTTCTGGCCAGATAAAAGCTTTTTGCTTACAGGCAGTTGAGGCTGTAAAATAAAACTTGGACTGAGGTGATAAATGACGAGTGAATAACTCAAACTATGCTGACCACCGATCAGAAAGCGATCAGGTGTATGCACAGTCTGTCTTGATGTCTGCAGACATGTTTTATTTAAATGGTAATTCTCAGAATGGATAAGCATTCCTGTTTAGGGTAAGGATGAGGACAGGAGAGAAGGTGTTTATTTCAGGAAAACAATAGCAGTCAGACAAGTTTTTTTATCTAATCATTTTATCGCCAAAGAACTGTTTACAGACACTGTAGGTACAAATCATTACAGAAAAATATATGACAGCAAATTTAAAGGACATTAATTAGTAAAATTCAACATTTTAGTGAGTGTCTCTGTATTCATTTAACAGTCTGATCCTCTGGGCCTCAATGCGGCACCGGTCCCTACTGAAGAATGTATTCCTACAACGCCTAAGGAATCCATGCCACGCAAGAGGAGGATATCTGAGGAGGCGCCAGTCACCGACAGCACCAAGAAGATTAAGGTAGGGGGTGCATTTTGGTTTTGTGGCTTAAAAAAGTTTTTTTTTGCTTTTTTTTTAAATATGCACCACTGGTAACCTGGAAAAAAATAAATGTAATAGGTAAAATTGTCATGCATATTGTTCATATACAGTATAGCTTCTTTTCGTTGAGGCAGACCTTCCATAGAAAGCTGCTGGTCTACTTTGGTTGCGGGTTACAATGTAAAGTAGAACCTGGGTACTTTTTTGTGATTCTTAATTTTTTTCACTGTAGCTTGTATTTAACCACTTGCCTACCAGGCACTTATACCCCCTTATTTACCAGGCCAATTTTCAGCTTTCAGCGCTGCCGCACTTTGATTGACAATTGCGCGGTCATGCAACATTGTACCCATATGAAATTTTGATCATTTTTTTTCTCACAAATAGAGCTTTCTTTTGGTGGTATTTAATCGCCACTGGGCGCTTTACTTTTTGCGCTATAAATTAAAAAAGTGCAAAAAATTTGAAAAAAAAAAAAAAGTTTCTTTGTTTCTATTATAAAATTTTTCAAACAGGTATTTTTTCTCCTTCACTGATATGCGTTGATGAGGCAGCACTGATGGGCACTGATAGGCGGCACTGATGGGCACTGATAGGCAGCACTAAAGGGCATTGATAGGCAGTACTAATGAGGTGGCACGGATAGGCGGCACTGATAGACAGCACTAATGAGGTGTGACGGATAGGCGGCACTAATATGCAGCACTGATAGGCGGCACTGATAGGTTACACTGATGATGGGTACTGATAGACGGCACTGACTGGCATCACTGCTGGGCACTGACTGGTGGCACTGACTGGCAGCACTGCTGGGCTGCACTGGTGGGTGGCACTGGTGGACAGCACTGGTGGGTGGGCACAGGTGGGTGGGCACAGGTGGGTGGCACTGCTGGGCACAGGTAGGTGGCACTTCTGGGCACAGGTGTGTGACACTGCAGAGTGGCACAGGTGGGTGCACTGCTGGGCACAGGTGGGTGCACTGCTGGGCACAGGTGGGTGATCTGCTGGGCACAGGTGGGCGGGAGCTAGTGGGCGCACTGCTGGGCACAGGTGGGCGGAACTTGCAGGTGGCATTGCTGGGCAACGATCATCAGGGCACTGATCATCAGTGCCCTGATGATCGGTGCCGATCCCCGCTCTGTCAACTGCCGGTTCTCGGCAGTACTTTCCTCACGATCTGACAGCATGAGGAAAGTGCAGCCGAGAACCGGCACTTGCATTTCCCTGTGATCAGCGTGTCATTGGACACCGCTGATCACGTGGTAAAAGGCCGGTATGACTGGCCTTTTACCACATCACGTGATCAGCTGTGTCCGTAGGACACAGCGATCACGGAGATCGCCGGGTGCGCGCCCCCTGGGGCGCGCAGGAGAGCGCATTCTGGGAGGACGTCATATGACGTTCACTCAGAACTGGCCGGCCGCAGTTTAGCCGTCATTCGGCTATCTGCGGTCGGCAACTAGTTAAAGTGTACGTAAACCCTAATATTGAAAGCATTATTATATCTGTTCGATGAGTGCTGTTGATCCTGCCAGAAATATAGTGAGCTACTAAATTCCTATGCTCTTTTTTTTCTGTATTTGTTTAGCATAATTTAAATGTGCTGGATTGGATATCAAACATATACATTTTTTAAATCAAATATAAGCATTCATTTTTTTTTAAACTCCTGTTTATCATAACTGAAAATATTTAATTGACTTTGTGATTAGGATATTTGTCTTCTACTTCCTTAGATGGAGTCTGTGCCACCGACACCGGCTACCGTGCCCAGCTCCCCAGTCATCCCAGGAGTTTCTCTAGAGGAAAAGTTTGCAAACTTGGTGAAGCCGACTGAGTGAGTTTTTCAGATTTCAGGGTTAGAATGTTGCAGTTGGGAATGACAATGTTAAAAGAGAACCCAAATCGAAAGTAAACATTTCACCTTGCAACTGTAAAGTTGATAATAGTATTCTATTTTTTTTTTTTTTTTTTGACAGTGTTTACTGGGATTTGGACATACAGAGTAGTGTACTGGTTAAGCCACCTCCACCCTCTCATCTATTACCACCCCCATCACAAGCTGTACCAATCCACCCTGAAGTGGAACTTCTACGGTCGCAGCTTATCCTGAAACTACGGCAACATTACCGAGAACTCTGCCAACAAAGAGAAGGTATGTATTTATTTTATGCATTAGGGTATCTTGCCAGTTCTTAATCCCTAATGCAAAATATACCTTTGCCCCGCTGTATCATTTTAATTTTCTTCCATCCTTGGTGCCAGTCACGGATGTGCTGAGGCTGCTGAGAGGTGGAGTGAAAAATCTGTTTCTCTGTTAGTGGACATAGACCTTGGTGGAAGCATTTATCATCACATAGCAGACTGAAAATAACATTTTACTGTCTTGCACTAACTGCAGAAATTCATGTGTAGGCTCTCTTCTGTACCGGAGCATTGCAGAAGATCTTTAATTGAACATTTACTTATATTTTTTATACAACTTCTGGTTCTTGGAGTTCTGCATTGACAATAGGAATTGTAAGCTTGGGACAATGAGTAGGTGGTAGGAACACCCATACAACCTCTGGTTCTAAATCTTCAACGTTCTCCATTTCTTAGAAGATTTGCTAGGTTTGAGACTATTACTAGGTGTCTGGAAAATTCACACGTTTGGTTCTTGGTCTTGGATTTCTGCAATAGTCAAAGGATTTACTAGGCCTAATAGGATCCAGAAAGACACCGAGGCTGATTCACTGAATTGATAATATTCCAACAATGCAGAAAAAGAGTAAACAGGGATTTGCTTTTCACATGATTGGGTCACTGAAGTGAATTCTCACACAATTTAGTGTGTGAACATTCTCAGCTTCTTTATAGTAAATTAGCCTCCATATATCTATAAGATACAGAAAGAACTGGTGCAACAAGAAAATTGCTTGTTATATGCTACAGACAATGTTCACCTTACTGGGATAGAGTTTTTCAGTAAAGCACATGATCTCCTGCTAATGTCAGTGGTGATCACTGGACGGTTTACAGGCTGGCCACAGACAGAGGGTGGTCATACATTTGTGTACTCACATTGATGGTGCCTTTGAAAGTGGATCAACTAAGCTTACAAGTAACCTTCTGGGTTAGGTTAGGGAGGGGGGATTGAGGAGTGGAACCCCATCGGTATATCAGCTGGGGCACAATAGCAACTAGGACTTTGCCTGATTGGTTGTTTTCCCTGGCTAGTGGTTAGCTGACCAGTGCCCACCCACCCCAATCAAAAAGAGCCAGCTTAGGCAATTTTCATGTCTGTGGGTCCTGGAAGGATGGTGGTGAAGAAAATGTTTTAGATCTGTGACACGCATGTTGCAGCTGAAATCAGCATTTGTCTGACCATGTGGTGCTTTTCCACTCCTCATGCACTCTGTATTTTTTTGTTCTTAACTGAGAAGAGTGGGACTTGGCATGATCTTTTAGGGCTCATGTACACGGGGCGTTTGTGAAAACTCTTCTGAACTATGGAAACTGACTGCTGGAAAATGTAGATTAAAAAATGTCAGTTTAGCCATGTTTGCTTATCGTTTAGAAGTGTTTTTTAAAGATAACCTCAGGAGACCTTCCCAAATGCCCAGAATGTACTTAAAAATTAACTATTTCAGACATATTGAGACAGAAACAATTGAGTACTGTCCGTGATACTTTTTTTATTTGCACTAACATACAATTTTGAGGACAAGCTTTCGGGGTATGTCCCCTTCTACAAAGTCCAAACAGTACTATACAAATCACAAAGTTTAAGCAGAATGTTAGAAGGGATTGAGAAGAAAAAAAAAAAAAAGGCTACATCAAGAGCGAGGGGGGAGGGGGGGGAAATACTACACTCACACAGAGGGGGTCAAGCTTCAGCTTTATGTTAGGGAACATAAAGAAGGTGACCTTTGCACACCTGTAGGACACCATTTCACACAACCAGGCCACAATATGGAAGACCTCAATGTCTTGGTTCTGAAAGGAAAATTCAAATCTATCCAGGAAAGAAAAATATTTGAACTAAGAATGATAACTCTATTTGACACAAAAGATAAAGGCCTTAATTTGGACATGGGATTCCTCAACCATTATCTGACAGCTTTATGACTATCTATTAGCTGAAGCTTGACCCCCTCTGTGTGAGTGTACTATTCCCCCTCTCTCCCCCCTGGCTCTTGATGTATCTTATCTGTAGCCTTTTTTTTTTTCTTCTCAATCCCTTCTAACATTCTGCTTAAACTTTGTGATTTGTATAGTACTGTTTGGACTTTGAAGAAGGGGACATTCCCCGAAAGCTTGTCCTCAAAATTGTATGTTAGTGCAAATAAAAAAAGTATCACGGACAGTACTCAATTGTTTCTGTCGCAAATGCACTAATACGGCTACAATCACCTCAAGCAGACATATTGAGAGGAATAGAGGGAGCAGAAACAGAAAGAGCAGTATATGTTGAAATTACCTGTCTTTTTCTGGTTGTATTCACTATGGATCCCATCATGAGCATAATGCGGCACGTTCTACCATTTTTTCCTTCACGCGAAACCTGGAACTGACTGCGCTGGTGTATCGGGTCCATTTGAATACGTGGAAAACGTTTGCATGCATTTCTGATAATGAAAAAAGGCTCTGGACAGCATCTGAATATGAAACAGTTAAAAACCGCTTCTAAACGAAAACACTTATAAACGCGGTTAACTGCGTTTACAAGCGTTTGGCGTTTGAAACTCTGGTAAAATCTACGCCTGAAGGCAAGTTTGGTGCGTTCAAAAAAAAGACTGTAAACTCAACTGCTTGTAAACGACATAGTGTAAATGGACACATAGGAAAACATTAGGGAGAGTTCAGGGGCTGCTGAAAAAACACAGAAAAGCTCCTGAACATCAGTTTAGCAGCTGCAGTGTACATGAACCCTTAGTGCTGGGACCCCATCCTATTGAAGGTTCAGTGTATTCAGAGATGGAGCGTGAACAAGATTCACCGCTCTCTTACGACTTCTTTCCACAAGGTGTTTTTGCCCACACAATTACTGCTCTGTAAACTCAGCAGTATATGAAAATCCAACAAATCAGTATATTCTGGAATACTGAAAGCTACTATGTCTGTCCTGCACAGTCATTCCTTGGTCAAAGTCACTCCAGTCTTTGCATCTTCCTCCATGTATTGTATGGTCAAAGTGTATGTGTGTGTATACTGTATATAGTTTTTTATATCTATCTATCTATCTATCTATCTATATATATCTATCTATCTATCTATCTATATCTATCTATCTATAGTTCTATACATCTCTCTCTCTCTCTTTATATTAGTATTACACGAAATCTCCTATGTGACTAAATATAGCACATCCAAAAACAATTATTCTTTATATACACCTCTAATCTTGAAACAACCCTCAAATGAGATGACAAAACTTATGGTTAACCACAAAACACAAAAACACATCCTACGGCTTACTTAGTCACAATCACAAGTTCTCTTTGTGCCGTAAGATGTTCATTTTATCTGTTACAGGATTATTGTTCTTATATTGGCCTATGACTTTGCTTTAAAAGGAGAGACACATTGCAGTAAAAACAATTAATGTATTTAAAGCTCAACCAAAGTTACATTTAATACAGCTACGCATGCAGTGGGGCTCCCCCTGCACTGAAGGGTTAATGCTCAGCTTTGTCTATGGTTTTGTTTAAACGTACTTTTACTTATCTTATCCATCACTGCTGTGCATTGTAAGTTTGCACACACAGGGCCTATCCACAACCTGGAGCATCAGAGGGAAAAGGTAAATGCTGGCTTCTGGGGGAGGAAGAGAGAAAGAAGGTAAAAGAGTGCTTTTTAGTGGTACTCTAGGCAAAAATGAACATTTAACCCTTGTGAGCCTCACTGCAATATCTTACATAGAAAGTTTGACAACTTCAGATGAAACTTGAATATTCTCGTCTGGTTACTTCAGACAATATATGTTAGTTATTTTTTTAATCCAATCAGATGTTTCTGTAGTGTGTTTATGCGCAGTCGTTACTACTTCTATGAAGCATTAGCACAACACTCCACTCCCCATTAACACCATTTACTACTTTTAAATAAAGTCTGAGCTATACAGTTGTTCTTTATCCATTCTGGGTATATACTTCTGTCTAAAAAAAAACTCTTGTTGGGTAAACATTGGAGAACACCAATTCTCACATTTTTGTGCTGAAGCCCTCAGCTGCAAAAAAGTCCTACCAGATATCAGGATTTTGATGTCCGCTGTCCAGTTCTCATAATATCAATGGTGACTAAGCATTATTTTGTTTTATTTATTTTTTTATAAAGTGGGGGGGGGGTGGGGGTGGCAAGTGGGGCAAGAGAGCACTGACTATAATGTGCAAGTGTGAATGGCATACTTTGACATTATGACACTTACCTATGAATATGATCTGCTCCAGCAATGACAACTTCACAGCCAACTGCTGAGGCTTCTTCCACTCCTGGTTTGTTCTTTGTTTAGCCAAAGAGGGGCAAGTGATGATGCAACACAGATGATGGAATAGATTTATCCTGAGAATGTTCACTGCGCAAACACCAGCAGGGGCGGACTGACAACTCATGGGGCCCCCCGGGCAATAGGGGATCATGGGGCCCCTGTGTCCTTGCCCAAACTCTAAAAAGCCTATGAAAAATGTACCAGGGGCATCTCATGGGGCCCCCTACTGACCCCGGGCCCTCGGGCAGTGCCCGAATTTCCAAATGGTCAGTCCGCCCCTGCACACAGGCATAGTAAAAAAATGTATTAAAGCGGAGTTCCACCAAAAGGGGAAGTTCCTCTTTAAGGACTGCTCCTCCGCTCCCCATTAAGGATTAGCACCTTTGGGGGGCAGGGGGTGGGCGCGGGTATCCGAATTTGACAGATACCCGCTCCCATTTCCGGTCTGATCGCCTAGATGATCAAAAACGGAAGTGTGTCCTCTCTCCCTCCCTGCCTTCCTGTAGTATTTTGGGACACGTGACAGGTCCCAGAAGACTACAGGACCATTCATGAAGCTGAGCGCTACTCGCACCTGCGCAGTGGGTACCCGGCTGTGAAGCCGCAAGCTGTCACAGCCGGGTGCCCACACTGAAGATGCCGACCTCCTGGAATCCAGGACGGCCGGTGAAACGGGCCGTGGGACACACACCACGGGACCAAGGGACAGGTAGGTGGCTGTTTTTTAAAAGTCAGCAGCTACAGTTTTTGTAGCTGCTGACTTTTATTTTTAGACAGGTGAGTGGAACTCCACTTTAATAAGAGAAAGAACAGACATACAAAATCTCTTACTAGTTGGCTCGGCATACTAGTAAATTTTTGTTCTTCCTTTTTGTTATTCTATTTTTATTTCAAAAGCATAGATGAACATGGTTCCAGCACTGCATGACTACCAACATGCACACACTGACGTCACAAAGCTAACACATTAGAATAACAATAGTTATTTTTAAAAAAATGAAGTATTTTCAGCTGAAGTCCAGTGAGATTTGAAATTACAGTCACATGGCTAAAATAAAGATCCTTATCCTTGTGTTTTTGTTTTGTGAGTTGAGCCTGTAGTATCAGGTGGAAGGGGCAGCAGGCCGTGTTCAGTGCTTCCGGATTGGATTAACAGTTGTGGATTCATTTCACTTGTCTGCAGTTGGTGTTATTTTGGTCACATTCCTGTCCAATGGAATAAGGGTTCTAGGTAAGTGGTGATAACCAAGCTGCTGTTTCATGTTAGTGATTCCTGTTACCATTTCCCTGCAGCATTGCTTATTCTTCCCTAGATCAATATATGAATGGAATGCACTTGAGGCATTTTCATATTAGCAAGTTTGAACAAGGGTTTACACTATACATTCCCTCTCTGATTTCTGGAGTGGCTGGAAATGCCCTTTCTGTATGATGACTTTATGCAAGGCAGCATTTTCTAAAACGTTTTAAGTATCAAAACTTCTCATATCTTCTATACTTCCCAGAAGTGTATTTACCTTTTACAAGAGCAATAACACTCAAAGAAGACCCCTAAGGTAGAGATAACTCAGATCAAGAACAAAACAAAATAAAGTTAGTAATCAAGAAACTTCAGCGCCACAAATTGTCAGCTGAAAATAGAATTATCAGTGTTGCTGATAGAAAAAAAAAGTGCTGATAATGGCATGCTGCGTCCCATAGACTTCAATGCAAAAATGCTCCCTAGTGACTTTAATGCAAAGTGGTGTCCTCTGGACTTTAATGCAAAGTGGCGTCCCCCATAGACTTTAAAGCAAAGTGGCGTGGACCCGTAGACTTTAATGCAAAGTGGCGTTCCGTGAACTTTAATTCAAAGTGGCTGGACCCCGTAGACTTTAATGCACTTTAATTGCAAAGTGGCGTCCCCTGGACTTTAATGCAAAGTGGCGTCCCCTGGACTTTAATGCAAAGTCGCATCCCCTGGACATTACTGCAAAAGTCTCGTCCCCCCATAGACTTTACTGCAAAGTCGCGTCCCATAGACTTTACTGCAAAGTCGCGTCCCATAGACTTCAATGCAATAAAGTCCCCCCAGTGACTTCAATGCAAAATGCCAGCTACATTAATTTAATTTAAAAACTGCCTGTTTCAGTTTTCTGCCAAGTGTATCCTGAATTTTCGGTTTCAACACCAGAATTTTAATTTTGATACACCACTAATGTGTATCTATTTATTCTATCTAAGGTTAATGGTTGTTCATACAGTATATCAAAATAACAAAACACTTAAAAACATTTAAAATATTCCCTGGTCAAACTCACACCGCTGTAGACTGCACAAATTAGAGTAGTCCACTTCTCAGTTCTCCGAGTCTTTGGCCTGGCATGGACCTTGCTGAGCTGCACCCAGCCTGACACCCATATATTGCTCCTACCCAGCTCTAGTGAGTGTTTGGCCGCTATATATTGGGAATGGAGACTGCTGGAAGAATTGTATCAGAAAAGAAAGGTGCTTTGTGAGTCCTGACTATGGAAATGGATGAGACCACTTTAAACAGGTTACACGCTGCTTTTGTTTGAACTATCTGGATATGCCAAATTGGCAATGTGTGCCGGGTGTGTGAACAATCAATGCCATGCTGCTGCTGCTGCAGGGGGTCTCTACTATCCTGTCAGTCCGCTTGTCCATAATCACACCTCCTTTTATATATTAAATGTGGCAATCCTCTGCAAACTTTGATTGACTTTCTGGCTCTCCTTAGTCCACACTAAATAGCGGGCTGATCAGTGGCAGTTGTCTTTGGTAATTGGGCGGAGCACATCTATGTTAAATGAAGTTTGATTGGCCCTCTGGGTTGTACCAAAATTAGTAGTTCCACTTTCATATTCAGTTGGTGACACTGCTTGCTTTTACAGCTTGAGATTTGTTGACAAATTGATATTAACAGAGTTCTGTGTGCGGGTACATGGGCTGGATACAGAGGACTGCTCTAATATGTGCATCCTAAAGAGGCGTGAGCTCGGCAAGGGAACATTTGAAAGGTTTTCAAGTGACTTTTGATTTCTGGTTCACAATTAACTTCTTATAACAAATACACATATCATTTTTTTATTGCTACGTTTATTTTGCTTATTTTCTATTCAGAATTATCTCCATCTCAGGGGCTTGTTATAGCTTAAAGTGGTTGTAAACCCTTCCATATACCCAGTGAAGTGACTGGCCCCAGGTAATACACAGAGATGAAACAAATTCTCCTACAATTGTACCTGCTGTTCAGCAGTCTTCTCTACATCTGTTCAAAGCCCAGAGTTTATAAAGTTTATCTGAGAGTTCAGAAAAAAAAGGGGGCGGAGAGTTGAAAGTACAGATTGGAGGGAAGAGACACACTCCCCCTTCACACAGCTCACAGGAACATAGCTGAGGCTGTCAATCACAGGCAGTGTACTGGAGCTCCCCATCACTTATTTCTCTTGGTGTCAGGAAAACTTGTCAGAAGAATGAGGCAGCTGAGAGAATTGGCACTTAATGCTGTAGGCTGTACAAAATATAGAGGGATATGCTTTGTTCATTTTTCATGTCAGAGGTTTACAACCACTTTTTACGGAGATTTCAGGTGAACAAGAAGAATATTTGTAAGATACAATTTTCAAGATAAGTACTTAAGAATTAGCAATAATTGAGTATATTGGATGCTATATACCACACAGTATATCCCCAAGTGGAAGATATATACATATAATCAGGATATTTATTTATTTATAGTCACGTGGTGATTTATTTTGAAAAATGCATCCCACACAGTGATTTTAAAGAGGACTTTTATTGATGGACTTTTTGTTTATGATTTTTTTTTCTTTTTTATGATTTACAGAGCGCTGCATATATATTTTGGCATTTCAAAATATTATTTATTGGTTACAATATTGGATGCTATACCCCTACTGTCTGTGGATCTTTTTAACCACTTGCCTACCAGCACTTATACCCCTTCCTGCCCAGGCCAATTTTCGGCTTTCAGCGCTGTCGCACTTTGAATGACAATTGTGTGGTCATGCAACACTGTACCCATAGGAAATTTTTATCATTTTTTTCACACACATAGAGCTTTCTTTTTGTGGTATTTAATCGCTGCTGGGTTTTTTATTTTTTGCACCATAAACAAAAAAAATTTTTTCTTTGTTTCTATTATAAAATTTAGCAAACAGGTAATTTTCACTGATGTGCGTTGATGAGGCTGCACTGATAGGCAGCAGTGATGGGCACTGATGAGGTGGCATGGATAGACAGCACTTGTGGGCACTGATAGGCTGCACTGATGAGTTGGCACTGGTGGGCATTGATGAGGAGGCACTGATGATGCTGCACTGATAGGCAGCAATGATAGGCGGCAATGACAGGCGGCGCGGACTGATGGCGCTGACTGGCAGCACTGATAGGCGCAACTGCTGGGGGGCACTGATGGGTGGCACTGCAGAGCTGCCGGTTATCAGCAGTACTTTCCTCACACTGTCACAGGGTGAGGAAAGTGCTGCCAATAACCGGCAACTGTATTTAATCCGTGATCTGCTGTGTCATTGGACACAGCTGATCATATGGTAAAAGACCACTGTGATTGGCCTTTTACCTCGTCACGTGATCAGCTGTGTCTGTAGGACACAGCGATCACGGAGATCGCTGGGTGCGTGCCCGTGGGGGCACACGAGAGGGTGCATTCTGGGAGGGTGTCATATGATGCCCTCCCACAGCTGGGTAACCGCACTGTAGCCTTCATTTGGCTATAGCGCGGTTACCAAGTGGTTAAAAAGCCATGCTGTGTCTGCTGTGAAGAGGAGTGGAAGGTTTGCGCAGATATTATAATTGGTGGATTTGATTCAGTTTAAAATATGGGGGGAAAATCAGATAAAACCAGGGCTGCTGATACCCACATAAAACGCTATTCCCAGCCGCTAGTGTTGTATAAACTAGGCATCATTTTTCTGCAACTCCACAGTGGAGCAGCCCTGAAATGTGCTTGTGACAGTCAGTATATGTGTACATTCTGTTTAGAGTGCAGCAGTTCTACTTGTACTTTCCTCTATTTGTTTTCTTTAAAGTGATACAAAACAAGTGTTAAGTACCAGAATTCATTTCGCATAAATCATATATATTATGCTACCGCATTTTGTTTGTTTTTTTCAGTCATCTGAGTAGCTTATTCTTGCAGTGCTGTTGTGTGTTCACATGATCTTTCTCTGTTCTTTGGCATCTGCAGGGAATGAGCCTAGGGACGGGCTTCTATTTAACTCTGCTGATGTATGCTCTGCACAGTACGAGTCTGTGTCTGGCCGGCCCTGATTGGTTCTGTGCTAGTCACATGACCATAAAAAAGCAGTTTCAGAAGAGCAATTCAAATTAGTTTATAAATATCAAAAAATATTTCACAGCTCCCTATAAATCTTTATTGAACATTAAATTGTATTTTTTGTGCATTAATATGGTGTAGTTAGAGTAACAATTGACACTAGCTTTCATTTTGTTCAGACAGCATCTGCATCCAAGGCTCTTTTTTACTTTACAGTTATTAGCAATTACATTTGATAAATTTAATACTGATTTATATTAAAAAGCTTTTTGTGAGTTTCTTAAAGAAACAATGCTAATCAATTAGCATACTACATCGTGCCCCCATAGTGTTTAGCAATAGGAGGACATGGAGGAGAAGGGAGGAAGAGTGTGTGATTCCATAGTTATGTGGGTTGCACAGATAACAAGGAAATGAAGAGCTTAGAAGGGAACTGAAATTGAGCATGCTCAGTAGAGGACACCATATGGTCTACACAATCTCAGCTTGCAGTGGGGACACAGAGAAGTTGGGGGGGGGGGGGGCAGATGAAGACAAAATCAACAAGGTATAATGCACTCTACACAAAGGAATGCTTTAGTGGCTTTGTAAGTATGCACACTCTGTTATATACAGTGGATATAAAAAGTCTACACACCCCTGTTAAAATGTTAGGTTTCTGTGATGTAAAAAAATGAGACATAGTTAAATCATTTTAGAACCTTCCACCTTTAATGTAATCTATAAACTGTACAACTCAATTGAAAAACAAAATCTTTTAGGGGGGGGGGGAAACTAAAATAATGTGGTTGCATAAGTGTGCACACCCTCTTATAACTGGGGATGTAACTGTGTTCAGAATTAAGCAATCACATTCAAAATCATGTTAAATAATATCATCATTTACAGTGCCTCTGATTAACCCCAAATAAAGTTCAGCTGTTCTAGTAAGTCTTTCCTGACATTTTCCCTAGGTGTACCTAGGTTCACACCTAAGTGGTTTCTGCAGCATTTTGCAGAAACGCAGTACAGTCTATTTAACATGATTTCCTATGGGACACATTCACATCCGGTGCATTTTTTGGAAAGGACCAGGGACTTTTGAAGGCAAAATGTTGCATTTTTGGTTCTTTGGACTTCAATGGGAACGCTGCAGAAAAGCATGTATTGCGTTTTTGCTGCATTCTGCGTTTAAAATCAGCCTGGCAACAAGAAACAAGAAAAATGAACAAGAAAAATTTTAAAAAAAGCTAAACGTGGCAAAAAAGCAAGTGCAAAAACACAATGCAGAAATGCACAAAACGCAACCTGCATAGGTGTGAACTTAGCCTAAGGGAGTGACCAGGAGGCAACATCTCTCTCTTTTTGTGGCGTACATTGTAATTTTTAATATTGCAAAGGCTACATATGCTATTTGATAAAAATGACAGTTATAATTAATTTCATTAGAATGTAACATTTCTGTATACTGTCAAATTGAGCTTTTTTAGTGTGGTCATTCAGCATCTACATCTGAGATTATTTCACAGGTAGGCATTTGTAGGTCCAACACCAGGTAAAAAAAAAAAAAAGAATTTGCAGAGCTATTTGTCCCGTAAAACTGCATGTATATTAGTTCTGTTTGGGCAAACTCTAATGTTATTAGGCCATTTCTCTCCAGGTCAAATGGGATTCATTCATAAAAAAGAGAGAATCCAGAAAATACAGCATTATAGCTACTAGATGGAGCTGATAATCATAGCAAATAAATACATTGCATTTGTAAATGCTGTTTTGCAGGATATCTTTGTGAACATTTTGTGAATAAGTTTCTTCAAATTGAATTTTAAAAAGGCACTGCGACCTAAAGAGCATAACATCAAGGAAATGATCCACACTGCTCATGCATACAGTTATAGAAAAAATAGCTGATAAAATCAATATTCATAAATTGTAATGTGAGGTGAGCCAATGAGGGCTTGTGGAGTGAGATATCTATAGATATAACAAGTCCAAAGGGATGCACCTTTTAGGCTACTTTCACACTGTTCAGTTTCAAAAGTACATGTGCAATTTTGCTGCGTTTTTACTGCGTTTCCGGTGTGGTTTCACATGACATGTGACTCAAACACACCAAAACCCAACCGCATTTTTCATGTTTCATACGTTTTTGCTGCGTCTTTGTGCCTTTCCCATTCATTTCAATGGGAATGTGCGTTTTTGGTGCGCTTTTCATCCATTTTAATGGGGAAGTGCATTTTTTTGTGTTTTTTCCAAGTTTTTGATGCATTTTCTATTCATTTCAATGGGGAGGTGTGTTTTTTTTATTGCACTGAACATGCACCAAAAATGCAGCAAGCAGGACTGTGAAAAATGGAATGCACCCACAGCTGACCAATGTGAAGAGTTCCATAGGTTTTATTGGTCATGCATTTTTCTTCCACTTTTCTGAACACAAAAACGGAAGAAAAACATATCAGTGTGCAAACAGTCTGTTTTACAAGATAGTCAAGGGTAGTTACAAGTTTGTGAGTAAGAAATTTGAGGGATGGGAGTTAGGTGAGAAATGGAGAGACGAGATTTAAGGAGGTGGGGTAGAAGGCCTCTCCCCTGTCTGGCACCCTAGTTAGGTAATGGGTTTAACATAAGAGATATGATTGAGAGTGGAATTTACATCATCAGAGGATCAGCAAAGCAGGTGGGATATAAAATCTTTAACCAACACACAGTTTAAACACCTGCTAAGTGATGAAATGCAAAAAAGTTCTGTGAAGAAATGACAAAACAGGGGCTCTCTAATGAGTCATAGCTGCTACCAGTTTCTCCCCATCCTTCTCTTTTGAATGCTAATTAGTGGCTTCTCTATTTACTACAGTTACGAAATATAAATTCCTGTATTACATGGTACATCCACATGGGGTCAGCAAAACAAAGATGTTGGTGTCCTATAACTGCACTGAGCTGATACACTTCACTGACAGTTCTTTAACCACTTCAATACAGGGCACTTATACCCCCTTCCTGCCCAGGCCAATTTTCAGCTTTCAGTACTGCTGCACTTTGAATGACAATTGCGCGGTCATGCAACACTGTACCCATATGAAATTTTTATCTTTTTTCACACAAATAGAGCTTTCTTTTGGTGGTATTTAATCACCACTGAGATTTTTATTTTTTGCTAAATATAGCAAAAAACACCTGAAACGTTTGAAAAAAAACTAACTTCTTTGTCTCTGTTATAAAATTTTGCAAATAACATTTCTTCAGAAATTTAGGTCAAAATGTATTCTGCTACATTTATTTGGTGAAAATAATAATTTTTTTTTTTCTTTTTTCAAATGTTTCTATCATTTTTTTTATTTTTTATTAAATGTTTTCTTTTTTTTTTACTATTTTATTTTTCAGCACACTGTGACCAAAGCAATACAATGTTTACCATAGTAACATTGAACTATTCCAGGCAAGTGATCAGAATTTTTTTTTTAACACATGATTGCTAATACCAATATATTTCATTGATATTTGCAATCATTGTTACTGAATGAAACTGATTCATTCAGTCTTTTGTTGTGATTAGCTGTGATTGGGCAAAGCTAATCAACATGATACAGATGGGCTGTGATTGGCCCTGTCTGTATCATGTGACTGCCTTGACCAGTCACAGCTAACAACATAATTATATACAATGAATGGCATGGCAAGGAGCCATCCATTGTATACAATTGAATGTGATCTGCTGTGATTGGTCACAACGGTCACATGACATTGGCAACAGGCCAGTGTAGTGATATGTCATCGGCTATGTCCCGCGGTCACAGCCGGTGACGGATCATGCTGCTCTGCGGCCACATGAGCAGCTCGTTTTTGCCAGGACATCATGTGATGCCCAGTCACAATGGCGAGTGTCTATAGCAGATTGACGGCCGGGCGGGAAGGTGTTAAAGTTTATGCATAGTTTCCTAAAAAGTAAGGCAGGGTTAAAACCACTGCCAGGTTATTCTTTTCTCTCTGTGTACCATAGGGGAAATTTACTTTCACTTTCTGTCCCAGAGACAGGAGGACTTTGAAGAAAATCTCCTACTTTAAAGGGAATTCCCCTCTTAGCTGTTTCCTGAGCAGTTGCACCACTAGAACATTTCCCCTTACCTCTTGTTCTGGGGACCGCTCAGAAATGTTTAATTTCCTATCACTTTCTGTATCAGTTACAATGGTAAGCAGTACAAATAGAGAGGCAAATCATGCCAATAAAAATCTGACAATGGGTCTAACCCTCCTCTGCTTTATCCAAAACAAAACATTTGCCTAAATATACACTTTAACCAACATTTGTGACTTTCTTTTACTTTCACTTTGGCGAAAAGGACAAATAGAGAGGGTTAATCTCCCTAACTGAAGCACAGACAGCAGAAAACACTTGACAGGGGTTCTAATCCATCTCCGGTTTTGCCTTTACTTATACTTTAAAGGGTATCTTTCTTGCCAATTAAAAAAAACACCTAATTAACCCTCCACCTTCTGTGCATTAATAATACACAAGAGCTTTTATTACCCGTAAGCAAAGGAAATTTAGCTGTAAGATATTTTTCACTGTCAAATAAGACATGGCTTGAGGTGTTTAGCACATGTTAGTCCAGTGTCATATCCTCAAGGAGCAAACTGATTGGTATGTAATATGTTGTGCATGCTATACAGGTGTTTTGTAAAATACAAAAGACTAAACAGAAACATATTTGAAGGACAGAAATTCTGTTCACAGAGAAAATGTTCCCCTGGGTTTCCATGAATGTTGGCCACATGTCTGAAGCCCGAGGCATTTGACTACATGATTTCTAATGAACAGAAAAATTGAGTCTAAATGCTGGACCTCCCCTTCAGCAACCAAGTACCTAAGCCTTCTAACATGTGACAAGCGCAGAAGGGAACCCAGAGCTGCATTTTCTCTAGGAAAAGTGTTTCAGCCTATTACTATTTTTACATTTGAGTAGGACTGTTAATATTGCTTAAAGTGAAATTCCAGTCAAAAATTAAAATTTGTTCTTGATTAGTATGTCTGACAACATAAACGTTTATATTATGCATTTTCCTAATTGCAGATTGTCTAGATTAGTAAACAGTCTAAAGGTAGACATTCAACAATCTCCTGATTTTTAATGACAACATTGTGCCTGTGGAGCAGAATGTGGCAGCCCACAGAGACTTCCTTAAACTGTTGTCGTTGTCTCTGTATTAATTTCAACACAGCTCCGAGTAGCCTCGGCCGGCCCCGCTTCTGTATAGCCCCACCATGCCTTCAGCACCATGTGCTGTAGCTCAGCTAGGTACATCACTTCTGGTAATGATCTTAGGAAGGTGGTGGACACCCCCAACAGCTGCGATAGGTAACTAAAGCCTGAGGCTTTGCAGTCATGTGACATGAGGAATTTGTTTTACACAAAATAAGGTAGAAAACAGCATCAAACTATGCAGATGTAATAATATTGTGGTTTCTGATTGTATGGAGGTGAATTAAAGGAAAGCCTTTCCTTCCACTTTAATGCTAAAGCGGTGCTAATCCCATCAATTTAACTTTTTCTCAAAACAGTTACATTCATGATATGCTCTAAATGATAACCGTTACTGTTGCTTGTGCTCTCAACCAAACTGCAAGCCATCAAATGCCTGGTTTCATTACTGATCGTATGTGCAGAACAATGGCAACTTTAAATAAGAAATCTTCAGTTTCAAAAAATGTTTTGCTGTCTGTGTTGGAATGGCAAGTAATACAGTATATCGTTTCTGGTTATACATTTCTGAATATGCAGCTAATAACATTTGTGTTCCACAGATTTGCTTGCTGGGGATTATTATTAATTCACACCTTTTTTTTATTGATTACTACTACTTTATGTTTGTAAAATGCTGGCAGTAAAATGAAAAATCTGCCTATTGCTGACTATTGTTGATTGGATCAAAGCATGATGAAGCCAAATTTCATGTTGACAAATGTAGTGATGGCCATAGATATTAGATGGCAGTCAGATTATTATTATTATACAGTATTTATAAAGCGCCAACAGTTCGCTCAGCGCTGTACATTACAATGGGAGACAGTACATGCGACAGTACAAAACAATACAATGTGATACACGAGGGGTTCGAGGGCCCTGCTCTTTCGAGCTTACAGTCTAGGAGGGAGGGGATATTGGTACAGAAGGAAATGGCTGTGGGAGATGGAGTGGTAGTTAGAGTGGAGGAGGTCGGCAATTAGCAGGGGGTGGGGTAGGCTTCCTTGAAGAGGTGGGTTTTCAGGGTGCGCCGAGAGGAGAGTAGGTGATAGTCTGATGGATTGGGTTAGGGAGTTCCAGAGGATGGGTGACGCCCTGGAGAAGTCCTGGAGGCGGGCATGGGAGGAGGAGACCAGGGAACTAGAGAGAAGGAGGTCTTGTGAGGAGCGGAGAGTGTGTGTTGGGTGGTATTTGGATATTAGGTCAGTGATGTAGTTTGGGGCAGTATGATGGACAGCTTTCTACGTCAGTGTTAGCAGTTTGAATTTGATCCGTTGGGCAATCAGAAGCCAGTGGAGGGATTGGCAGAGGGGGCTGGTGGAAACGGAGCAGTTGGTGAGGTGGATGAGTGTGGCTGTCGTATTCAGGATCGACTGAAGCGGGGATAGCCTGTGGCGAGGCAGGCCAGTGACGAGGAGGTTGTTGTGGGCACAGTATCTGACCATCAGAATATTTAATAGATGCTGATGTAAGTAGGCAGCCTTGCGTTACCTCAGCATGTATGCCTATGTCTAGAGAAAAAGGGAAGGGCAAACAATAGTAATCTAATAATTAGATAGCCAAATGCAACAGAGCCATTTTCTCTGGAATTGATTGGTTTGTGACCCAGTCAAACTGAAATTATACAGAGTAGAGCATGGGTAGACAACCTTGACACTACAGCCGTGTTGAAACAACAAGTCCCATGAGCCGTTGCAAGACTCTGACAGCCATGACTCCCAAAGGTAGTGGCATGATGGGATTTGTAGTTTCATCACAGCTGTAATGCAGGGTTTGCCTTATCCTGGCTTAGAGTGTGATTATCCCATCTCTATGGGCACTTTTATATGAAAATGTCACTTTGGGTTTGAAATCTTGCAAATATGAAAGTTAAAATACTTTCTTTTCTATCAAAACGCTGCTAGCCTTACTTAAAATACTGTATATTTAATGGTCTTCCAGGTATTGATCCACCCCGGGAATCATTTAATCGCTGGTTGTTGGAACGGAAGGTGCTAGATCGAGGACCTGACCCCCTGCTTCCCAGTGATTGTGACCCAGTGGTATCTCCATCCATGTTCAGGGAGATTATGAATGATGTCCCTATAAGGTGATCCTTCTATTCATGTTTAAGATTCTGGTTTGCATGCAATGGGTCCTAGGAATTTATAAAGGGAGTTATAGAACTTTCCTGAATTTCTTTAGGAAATACTTTATATGAAATCCATCTTGTAGCAGACTTTTGAGCGTTTAGAAACATTTGCCTTGTTTAATAGAGTCCAACCTCTTATTTTCTTCCAGGTTATCGCGTATTAAGCATCGGGATGAAGCAAAACGTTTGCTGTTTAAATATGCTGAGGCTGCTAAGCGACTTATTGAATCTAGGTGAGACCTCATCTAATCTGCATTTTAGTCCTAATGTTCCTGTGCTATAACACTGGTTTACATATTCTGTGATGAACTTAGTTTATGCACGTGTTCAGGAGGATTTTAACCTAGAGGCAGCATTGGCCCATGTCTACAACAGCAGCTAGGAATTGGAAATTTACCAGTGTCAAAGTGTGTCAAATCTTCAAGAGTACATGCACTTATTCTCTTCTACTTCCTCAGCATTTTCTATATAGGTTATGTTCAGAGCCAGATCATCCACAGGGCAAACTATGCATTTTCCTTGGACCCTGTGGATGGTTAGGGAGCCCATCTGCAAACTTACATTTTCTGCACTAAACCAGGGATAGCGCAAATGGCCAAAGCTGTGTGCCTGCCTGTCACTTCAGATGGGAGGATACACTTGTAGGTAGTTGATGTCTGATGGACCCATGTCAATAAGGACAGCTTTGTATGTGCCTAATGCAGTCCTTATCATTGTTGGTCAAAAGGATGGTGGGCCAAAGCTGCTACATTACCTAGGGCCTCATTCTATCTTAACCTGATTTTGGACATTCATACCTTCAAGACCACTGTCCTGAATTCTTCACTGTGCAGTCTGCCTGGACAAACTTCTCAGAAATGCCCCAAACAGTTCTTGTACATTTGTACTAAAGCCTCCAATACCTTCAGTAGAAAACAAATTGCTTAACCTGATAGACTGCAGGTGGGCTTTCCAGTGAGGTGACTGGAGGCCATGGAGCCATGCATGTACAGATTTAGGCCAAAGAGTGTGTTCAGCAGGGCAAGTTGTGTAGTGAAGAGTTTAGCGCGGTTTCAGAAACCAAAGATGCAGCATGCATTAGTTTTGGTGTGCTTTCTGAAATCGTGCCAAAACCTCAGGACCTCATAGAAGTCTATGAGAAAACACAGCTAACCCACAGGAAAACCTTGAGTTAGCTGCACTTTTGCAAAAGTGCAGCTGGGCAGTGTGAAGCCACTCATACTTAAAATTCAGGATATTAAAGCGGAGTTCCACCTGAAAAAAAATAAATAAACGTCACCAGCTACAAAAACTGTAGCTGCTGACTTTTAAAATACAGACACATACCTGTCCCTCGGTCCAGCAGTGACCTCATCACCGCTGGTTTCACCGGCCGTCTTCTCTCCCTGGCGCTGGCATCTTCAATGTGGGCAACTGGCTGTGACAGCTTACAGCTTCACAGCCAGGTGCCCATTGCGCATGCGCGAGAAGTGCTGCGCTTTGTGAATGGCCCCGTTGTCTTCTGGGACCTGTCACGTGTCCCAGAAGACTACGTGGGGGGGACAACAAGTTCCGCTTCTGTACCTGCTCCCCAAAGGTGCCAATCCTTAATGGGGAGCGGGGAACGAAGGCTTAAAGCAGAACTTCCCCTTTTGGGTGGAGCTCCACTTTAAATACACTAAACGTTTATTCACCTTTTTTTATTTTTTGCTATTAGATAATAATGAACACTTTGACTTTGTGCATCTCAGGACAGAATTAAACACAGATGGTGATTTTATCATCAACAGCTAATATGCATCAATGTTCTTGTTTTTTAGAATAGTTTAGCAGGGAAAACATAATTGCAGAGATTACAAACTGGAAAATCCCAAGAAAAGATACACATGATGTCTTTTTTTGTTTCAATATTGCATGTAAAGCTGTAACTTCTATTACTTTTTTGCTGAGGCAGAATCCCCACAATGACATACATATACACTTCTAATTGTTTATATCTCTATTTCAATGATCAGAATTGAACTTATATCTACATGTTGCTGAGACTGTCTTTTTTGCTGCAGGCGAGCCTCTCCAGACATTAGAAAAGTGGTGAAGTGGAACGTGGAAGACACATTCAGCTGGCTGCGGAGAGACAACCTGGCTACAAAGGAGGATTACATGGTCAGTCCCTGATTCAGTCGTAGCTAACAGCTGTTCTGTAATGCCAGTATGATGTGATCTCCAATAGCAAGATAATTCTGTGGGAAATTGTCACTGGAGATATTAAGATGAAGGAAAATGTCACTAACATTCCAGTCACTGCCAAGCATCTTAAAGCAGAAGTCTGGTTACAGATATGTATCAAAATTCCTAAGGTAAAATATTACCTCTTGTAAAGGGGTGTAAAATGTTTACAGCGCCTCTTTTTATTCTATTATCCAGCCTTTCTCAACCAGAGTGCCTTGGGGTTTCTTCAGGGGTGCCTAAATGTCTAAAAATTGCCCAAAACTTGTATTGCCAGCAGGTGGAACAACCCTGCCTTTTACTTACACAAAGCCACGGTTTTTCATTGTGAACCTTTACGACCTTTTAGCTGCCGGCTTCATGACAACCAATGACATCAGTTGATAAGGAGGATGTCAGCTGCCTGTACAACATCCTTTTTTGACTCTCCCGTGTCCCTCTCCATCAGTGCTGGGGTCACATTAGCTCAGTGATAAATAAAAAATGAGGGAGAAAAGAAACATTGGAATACTACTCAGTACCAGTGTGCAAAAGTGTATTTACTTTGGAAGAATAAATCACCTCTAATGTTGGGTGTCCTACATGTGTGGATGTTGCTGCGTTATATAAAACTATTAGAATAGTTTTTCACATTTTAGAATGGGGTGCTTCAAGACTGTCCATCATTTTAAAGGGTGCCTTGGGACTGTCCTTAATTTTAATGGGGGATTTGACTGAAAAAAGGTTGAGAAACACTGCTATAATCCATTCATTAGTTTTCCACATACCAAACTTACAGTGCTACGGCTATTAGAGCTGCAGCTGAAACACCAAAATGATCCTGTTGTTCACCCACTCTTTCTGCTCCCCTTGTCCATTCTGTAAAGAGAATACAAGGGCTCTGTGAATGGACAAGGGGTGATAAAAGAGAGGGTGATTGGCAGGATCTCTTCACTGCAGCCTTAGCTGTCATACCCACAGCACCAGAAGTGTGGGGTTGACAGTAGTATGCGGCAATCTAATGAATGCATTATAGGGTAAAACAGAGACACTGTAAACATTTTACACCGCATTACAAGAAGCAAATTTTTCTTTTTGCCTCAAAGACTAAGTTCTCCTTGTGCATAAAATGGATTATGCAGTCGTAGGAACCCGGGTAGGTAAATACACTGTGCAGTTTTTAAAAACATTGCTGCGAGAAAAACTCCCATATCATTAATATTCTCTTGTTCAAGCTAGTCTTTAGGACAAGGCAGATATTGAGCACTCGCCCCCAGCATCACAGAAGTGAGTTCTCTCCTTAGCTCCAAAGCTGCTAACAGGAACACTGTTGCAGAAACACTGAACTTAGCTGCTGCTGCTACAATGGGGGAGGGGTAGTGCACTGTGCTTGCCCAGTTTTTGAAACAGAGAGAGCTCTGACTCATGTCATGTAAGGACAGGGAATGGAAACAACATGGGAGTTTTTCTTCCAGGCTTTAGGGGTACCACAAATGGGCTCTAGATATGGCAATGCTTTTGCACAGTGTATTGTAAGCTACTGGGGCCCCTTGACTGCCTAGTCCATTTTATTCAAAAGGTGAATTTAGTCTATAAGAATTAGAATAAATATCAGTGGCTGGAGTTCTGCTTTAAACGTTATTATCTATCTGTAATCTGATGAATTCCCATAAACATTATCTTTCTTCTTTCTAGAACCTCTTGTTTTAGAGCTTTCACTCTTTTTACTATTTTTGCAGAATCTCTTCTTGGTAATAATATAGAAATAGTTCAGCGCTTTGTAGTAACTAATCTCCCCTCCCCCATATGTGATCCAAACATCAAACCCTCAAACCATTTATGTGCAAACTTAAAGTGGTTCTAAAGGCAGAAGGTTTTTTACCTTCATGTATTCTGTGCATGAAGCAAAAAACCTTCAGTGTGCAGCTCCCCCCACAGCCCCCTAATACTTACCTGAGCCCCCTCTCGATCCAGTGATGTATACAGGAGTCTCTGGTCTTCCGGGTCTCCCCCTCGTTCCCATTGCTGTCAATCACAGCCAGTGCGGAGAGGGCTGGGGATGGGTCTATATGTCTTATGAACACATAGAGCAGGCCTTGGGAGCAAGCATGCATCAGTGCCCCCATAGCAAGCAGATTGCTATTTGGGGCACTGGTCAACAGAGAGGAGCCAGGTGGGGGACCTGAGAAGAAGATGATCGGGGCTGCTCTGTGCAAAACCACCAGAGCAGGTCAGTGTAGACCAGTGGCGGACTGACAACTCATGGGGCCCCCGGGCAATAGGGGATCATGGGGCCCCTGTGTCCTTGTCCAAACTCAAAAAAGCCTATGAAAAAGGTACCAGGGCATCTCATGGGGCCCCCTACTGACCCGGGCCCTCGGGCAGTGCCCGAGTTTCCATATGGTCAGTCCGCCCCTGGTAGACATGTTTGTTATTTAAAAAACAAAACACTTTAATAATCACAAAAAGTCAGTGAATCTGTGTGGTGAGAAATGCACGCATACACATATTTATAATACAAGTCCACTCTGTAAATCTGTAAAACGTTCTTCTTTACAACCACCGTGACCAATATTCAGAAATAACTCCATGACTCTCCCAGTGCTCAGTGAAAGTCCCTTTGGTCAATCACTTACCTTTTTGCTTGGACTTATGCTTCTATACATCAGCTAAATCAGGCAACACTTATAATTCCATATGAGATTTTGTGATGTTCTCGTTTGGATGTCACCCATACATTAACAGACTAATCAGATGGAGTAAAGTAGAAATCACACAATCCAATATAATAGAATAAAGTAGAAAGTGCATATAGTGTAACATCATTAAAACCAATTGCGTCATCCAGTCTTTGCCATGTTGCATCTGTTAGACTTCCTCAGAGGCTTGGAGACTGGAGAAGCACTCTGCTATTCATCTGCTTTTATTCAAGTCATACTAACATGCATCATGTTACATGTTAAGTCTCCAAGCCTCTGAGGAAGACTAACAGATGTAACATAAGGTGAAGATTGGATGCTGCAATATCCAAAGTTGTAGTGGAGTGGAGGGACAGACAGTATCTTAGTAAATTGGTTTTAATGATTTTAATAATTGGGGTATAAGCAGATCCCAGAAGTTGTAGTGGAGTGGAGATTGGTCTGTTTGTGTATGGGTGACATCCAATGAAGAACATCACAACATCCCTTTGTATGGAATCATAAACAGCGTGCCTGACCTAACTAATGTACATTAGCATAGGTCCAGGCAAAAAAGGCGAGCTAGTGGCCAAAGGGACTTTCACTGAGAACTGGGAGTGTCTTGAGGTTGTTTTTGCACATTGATCACAGTGATTTCAAGTTGTAAAGAAGAAAGTTTCATAGAAAATGTATAGAGTAGACAGAGTGATGATTTTAAAGGTATATATATGTGTGTGTGTATTTCATAATAAACAAATGTACTGACTTATTTGTGATTATTATCACTGGTTTGAGGGTTTGATGTGTGGGTAATACATGGGGGGGCATTAGTTACTACAAAGCGCTGCACTATTTAAATATTTGTTTACTAGTTTGTGTTCAAATATTAGTACTGGCAGCTAGTGCTGTTCATTTAGATGATAGGGCTAGCATGAAAGGATCTCAGCTACAGAGAGATTTTTTAAATTTCTCCTTACTAGGCTTTCATCCTGTTCTACCATCATTGTTTTTAATCCTTCCACATTTTTCATAGTATTGCATCTTAAAAACCTGGCTTATTAGTTATCTTACTGTTTCAGGAACGCTTGGAGCACCTACGAAGGCAGTGCGGCCCGCATATGGCAGCTGTGGCACGAGACTCAGTAGAAGGCATATGTAGTAAAATCTACCACTTCTCTCAGGATTATGTGAAGAGGATTCGTGAGAAGCACATGACATTGCTACGTGAAGCCAATATACCAGGTAGTATGTTTACCTTTTAACACCTTGGAAATATGAGGTTGAAAATTGCTATATATTGGGCTACTGGCTGGAGCTTGCCTTATATTAATAAAGAAGTACCACTAATGTAGTATTATGCCAGATTTAGTAGGTTTAAAGGGTAATTCACGTGTATAATGCTTTCTTTCTTTTTTTATATTTCAACAAAAATAAATACTGCAACTTTATTCATGTACCCTTAAGTCCCATAGGCTGTAATTGATTCAAACAAACCTGTTAATTTGTCGGAAAGATAGAAATCAATTACAGCTTATAAGGCTGTAGGGTGCACATATAGAGTTGAAGAGGAGGTCTGCAGCGATTACTTTTCTTTAGACACCCAGCTGCTGATTTTCAGGTCAGCATGCAGCAGTCTTTGCTGTGAAAAAATTTAAATTTTTGCTCATAAAATGTGCAGAAGGCTGAGAGAAATGGTACTTTTTAGTGTTATAATGGATATTTCCTTAAAATGTTTTGTGGCCCTTTCCACTGTATTTATTACAGGTACTTATAGATAGCGCCATCAATTTACGCAGCGATTTACATGTGTGTATGTATGTATATATATATATATATATATATGTGTGTGTGTGCTCAAAAGTTTGCATACCCTGGCAGAAAAGATGAAATTTTGGCATTGATATTGAAAAGATGCCGAAAAAACGTTTTATTCAAGGATAGTGATCATATGAATCAATTTATTAGCACAGTTCTTTGGCTGATTTTAAATCATAATGATAGCAGAAATCACTCAAATAGCCTTAGTCAAAAGTTCATATTTGGCCTTGGTACAGATACACAAGGTGACACACACAGGTTAAAATGGTAATTAAAGGTTAATTTTATATAAATAAGATATGGCAGTCAGTTAAGACCTGTAGAGTTTGCCCTATGATGGGCCGTTTGTTTGATAAATAGGTTGTTTGTTTTTTATCCCCAGTGCATATACAAGGTTATGTGTGTTTAGGTGTTGGGTCATTTGAATGTACAAGATTCTGTCTCAAATCTATTGCTGAGCTTGAAAAATACAGGGATGCAATCCTTTCTATAAACTCCAGGCACATTCAGATGAGTATATTAATGTTTTCTGAGTCTCCCCGCTGTCCTTTGACAATCAACATCATGCTCCTGGACAATTAAACCTGCCTTGGCACATTCCATGGTAATGGGATGAAGGTGACTGAGTTACCTATAAACGCTGGGGTATGTTCCTGATGTTCATTGGAGATGAAGAATCTGCTTGGATAAGCAGCAGAATGTCTTCCAACAGTACAAGACCAGTTGAATGTGTCTAACTACTATTAGACATTCAAGTGGAAATTAATAGGAGAAGGAGAATGTGTGGAAAAGATTTAGAGGATCCCCAGGGTAATTAGAAAAAGATTTAATTACGTTCTATTGCAGTTTCTGTCTGCCTATAGGTGCACTCCAGTCAAAGATGAAACATAAGCATTGAAATATATGGAGCACATACAGTCCTTCTGCTCAGGGCTTTGGTTTCTATCCGAATAATAGGTAGAATGCCCCTATCTCTCTTCTCCTGTTTGTATGTAACTTGCTGGTCTGAGTATCCATTTTGCTTAAAGCTTATCTATAGTCAAAATTTAAAATCATATATTCTTTTCTACATTATATTTCAATTTTTTCTGGTTTAGTCCTATTAATGTGAATCATCTTGAATTTTGAAAACTTAGGTAGGCACAGCTGTGTTACAGAATTTACAGAGTCTGCCTTCTGAACTACAGAAGTGCTGAGAGGAGGAGTTTCTGGAGGTGGAATTCAGTACAGGAATCACTGCTTGCAGGCAGCAAGGTACCATGGGATATGTAGTCCTTAGAAACTGAAAGTACGCAGCAGAGAAGCTGCAAAGCATGCTGGGAATCTGGGAAGAGATGGTCAGTAGACAGGCAGCAATGATCACCTGAGAGTTTTCAAATAAGCTTATCTAAAAAAACAAAACATTGTTTTATTGCTAATACTATGCTGATGTTATAAAATGAAAGTGTATGCTGTGACCTTAGAAGTAACTCTTTGTAATACAGAATACTATTCCTAAACATCCTCATTGTAGGTTTCCTGATATGTCTGGCACACAAAAAGCCTGGTGTGTATCAGTGGCAGTATTAACAGCCACATATACCAATCAAAGGAGATATGTTGTTCGCTAGGATCTGGCTGCGGTTGATTATAGAGAACTCAGATTAATAAAAATTGATCTGGCTTTTGACGTTAGCACAGTTGCATTGATTTCTTGAGAGCTTATGTAGTTTATTGATGAAGTTTAGTTTTTATCATGCCAAAGTCCAATATAAGGACTTTAATCCCTTGGCGCCGGCGCCTCCCGGTCCCTTAAGGGTTCCAGAAGCTGGGAGGCGGGGTAGGGTTTTAGGGTCATGTGACCGCCGTGATTCACTGTCACGGCGGTTACATGATCGGGAAAGGTCCCAATCGAAAGAGGAGATCGGGACCTTTCCGTGAGTACCGAACGTGTGTGCTGGGAGCGCGCAGGGTGCCCGCTCTCAGCACATATGTTTTTTTGTTTTTTTTTATAGATTGCAAATGTGTGGCCACTTGGCGTCTAGGCCCAGACGCCGGGAGGCCGCACATTTGCGTTTGGCCAGCGTCAAGAGGTTAAATTTGGCATTGGACATTCTTCTAAAGCTTTTTAAGAAAAAATTTTTATTTTTCATTAAAAGAAAACATAACATACATAACCAAATATTTTATATAGATAAAATCACATCATGAATTTATTGGAACCTCCCTTTCTTTTACATTGAAGGACATGCTTCTTCTTCTTCTTCTTGGTACTTCACATCAATCTGGTGGTCCAAAATAATGATAATGAAATTACAAGAAATCATAAATAATAACTTCATTAGGTCTACTAATATCAATATTACATAGTAACCATTGGTACATGGAGGGTTATACTCCCTAAAAATCATACTGTTGTGCTAAGCATAACCATACATATAGTCTTACACTGTCCCCTTCCCAATCAGGCTTTGTAGAGTAACATAGAAGACAATTCAACAAATATTCTCCCATTGATGACCCAATGAAAATTGTCCCTATTATGCCATTATTTCTAACCTTATTTATAAATATATTTATATATATATATTCACTGCATATTGCAATATAGTAGCATAGGGAATCGTGATTTGTTTGAAAACCTTACATGATTAGTTCTAATATATACACATAGACCCCACCCTTCCATTTCTACGTAACATTGCTGCAGTTTTCACCTATGCTCAGTGTAACACACCATACAAAAATATCTGCAGGCTTTGCTTTTTAATAACCGCCGAAGTGTAAAAGATCCCTGCTGGTGGCTCGTGCACCTGTTCCCACCCCATAAATCTCAATTACCCTGCATTAGGTCCTGCCAGCAAAGTGCTCTGCTAGTGTGCCTCTGCATTTGACATCCATATATTCCACTTAACTTCATATGCTCTACACTAGAGAAATCTTTGGCCTACATACAATCGTCTGCATGGACACATTAAGGAGTGTAATATACCAAGTTATCGTTGCAAGCTTAAATAAACCTTTCTCTTAAAAAGCTTTTCCAGTGAAATGGAGATTGAGCGTGTTTCCTGTAGCCTTTTTTACAGTAACTGGGCTTTCTTGGATCACAGCTCATCTCATCATCTTGTGCATCTGTAACCTGCCTGCAAGGACGCCGTCTATATCATAGAATAGAGAGAATTTATTTGCGTATTTAACCTCTTCTCCCCAAAATATAGAGAAGGTTTAGGAATATTTTGTTCCGCATTGCTGAAAATGTTGTCTTTAATTAACCCCTTGACGCCGACGTAACACAAATATGCGGCCTCACGGACCTGGGCTTTTTTCCGTGGGGCCGCATATTTGCGTACCTGTCTTTGTGCTGGGAGCGCGCCGCTCGGCGCGCTCCCAGCACCAAGACCGCGGTGTTACTGAGAGCCCCGGGTCCCGTTCTAACGATCGGGACCCCCGATTCCGGGTCACGTGATCGCTGTGATAGCCTCTGATTGGCTATCACAGTGATCAATCACTGTGCAGCCCGGCCCCCTTGTTTTCTCTCTCTCTATGAATGGAGAAGAGAGATACATTGTATCTCTCGAACTCCTGACACAGAGAGAGAAAAAAAAGTTTGTAAAAAAAAAAAAAAAAAAAGATAAATAAATATTAAAAAATAAAAGAAAAAATAAAGAAACATACCTAGATCAAGGTTTGATCTAGTTCAGTACCAGGGTTAGTGTTTGGGTCAAAGGTCAGGGTCAAAGGTCAGGGTCAAGGGCAAAGGTCAGGGTCAAAGGTCAGGATTTAAAAAAAAAAATTGGTATCAGTGTCAGTTAGTGTTAATGTCAATGTCAGTGACAGTGTGTTTTATATAAAAAAAAAAAGACAAAAACAAAATGCGCACTGTTGTTTCTGGACTGTACTACGGGTACAAACAACAAATAACATACACATATATGGTATCGCTGCGATCGTCAAGAACTGGAGAATGTATTTTGAGTTGTTCTTTGGTGGTAGGTTATGGTCGTAACAAGAAACACACAGTTAAATTTAAAAAAATGATTTTTTTTACTATTTTGGCCCAGTTTTCCTTTAATGATAAAAAAAAATTAGGAGCTATCCATGACCATTTACCACCAAATGAAAGCCCAATTTGTCCTGAAAAAAACAAGGTATAATCCACCTGGATGTACAAAGTAGTTGTGATGATATGTACGGTTTTACTAACACGTCAACGTTGCAGAATTGTGCTTAGGCATTTAGATTTGTTTTACCCTTAGGCGTGAAGGGGTTAAAGAAAACTATTGTCTATTAGAAAAAAGGAAATGCAAAAAGAAGTTTAGAATTAAATAAATCATTTACTTTACCTAGTAAATATTCTGCTTACTTTTGTGCAATGAAGGATCAGTTAGTATGTATTCTAGGATCTGACATCCTTCTATTGTATCCTCTACCAAGGATATCCTTTCATAATTTTTTACCTTTTGCTATAACCTTTACATTTCTGAAACCCATTATGTAGCCGCAGAAGCACGCTCCTTTCTGAATAATATCACACTCCCTGAAGTGACCCCAGAAAAGAGAGCCTCTTTGGACTCTCATCTCACACTCACCAAGTTAATAGAGGTCCTTCACTCTCTGCTTCTAAGAAAAGCTCCCAGTGAGTACGGTCTGCCAGCAGAGGTCTAAAAAAAAGTATTTTCTAACCTTACTACAACACCTCTTATATATGTTTGTATCAGGTGCCTTGTATTTGTATTGTGTGCCCTTCCAGCATCTAATGTACAAAGCTAATATAGTAGTCATCCCAAAGCCTGATAAAGACCCCCCAAACCAGACTGCTACAGACCTACCTCGCTGACCACAGATGTAAAAATACTAACTTAAAGTATAACTAAAGGTAAAAGTTTTTTTTTTTTTTTAGTTTTGGACATAGTGGAGAGGGAATTAGAATCACTGTCAGTTTTTATTGCTGTCTGTGCCCCCATTATGAAGATTCACCATCTCTATTTGTCCTGTTTACCATTATCATTGAAAGTAAATGTAAAAGAAAATCACAAATTTTGGGTTGTCCCCGGAAAAGTAATAGGGGGAGAATCTTCCAATGGGGACACTAGCTCTGGTGACCTGGGGGTCCCTAAGGAATTCCCTTAATTTGCAGAAATTTCCGCTAACGTCCTGTTTAGCTATGGGACAAAAAGAGAGAAAAAAATCTGACAGGTTATAACCCTCCCTTGCTCTATCCCAAGTGAAAAAGAAAGTTTTGCCTATAATTCCACTTTAAACTCCAGCTGTGTACCTAAAGTTATATCCAAATTGGTAGCTTACAATCAATCAGGATTTATTCCTAACTGATTGACAGCAGCAAATATTTGTAGAGTATCCCTTAACATGGAATCCACTCTGCAAAATGTGGGAAACAGAGCGCTACTGTCCCCCAATGCAGCCAAAGCTTTTAATAAATTTGGAATACATGTTGGAGGTGCTCTGAAATTTAGGGATGAGGCCCAAAGTTTATGAAATGAGTACAGATTACATTCTCCTCCCCTATGGCTGGAGTGCTTTTGAACATTTCTCTCACGCCCTATATACCTTTTGTGAGAGGCATTAAGCAGGGAAACCCACTTGTCTTTAATATTTGTACTGGCAATTGAGCCCTTTGTTGAAGCTATCAGGCAAAATCCTAAAAATGAAGACTTGGTCAGAGCCAAGTGAGGGAGATAAAATAACTCTATGGGTAGATGATACCCTTCTATTTCTGGGAGATACATTAATCTCATTGAAGCATGTTAAGACTGCCATGCATTACTTTGATAGGTTCCCAGGCCTGCTCATAAATTGGTACAGATCTACTTTATTGCCTGTTGACCCTCTTCGGCACCCAGTCCCTGACATGTTAGGAAAGTTGACCCCGGGGGTGTAACATCAATTCACATGGCCCATAGAAACATTTTGATGTTGACCCCTCTCTCCTGCAGTGCCAATTGAGACAATAATGTAATTAATTTTAACATAAAGTATGCCTAAATCAAGGACAGTTAGCAATAGAGCTATCGGTATAGTCAGTACACTATTAGAGATGAAAGCTGTGGATAGGGAGATTCACATTAAATTTACTCAGTAGCTCACCAGCATTTTTCACCTTCAACTGATCTTTTTTAGAGTATAGGATCTTAGGGGTTTGGTGTAAAATCTAAGCCCTTCTACCCCTGCCAACAAACTTCATAGAACTTTGTGGTTTAGTAGTCAATAAAAAATTAAAATAAGTATATTAGTATATTATTATTTTAATTATAAATTGATACATAATTGTTACTTCTTGTATTATTTATTACTGGTATTATTATAGCTCATAAACGTAGTGCAGCGCTAAACAAATATTGGCCAATATATGAGAGACTAACCAATCATAGATAAAATACAATATACCGTATAATGTCCAGAGTTAGTCAATCTGCTGGTGGTAATTATTCCCACTGGTAAATGCTGGACCGATATTATAAAACTCCCCGTGTGCTTAAATCTGGAAAAATCCGGTGACGTGCAATCAGATAAGATATGGAAAGATTGCCCACTCACCTGAAGTGCAATCTTAATGGGCAAATATCAGATGAACCAGGAGCAGATGGTTTCCTTGACAGTACAGCCTGAAACAGGATCCTCTCCTCTGCAAACGTGGGTGTTAGAGATGTCCCTCCTAAACGACCTAGAACTGGTAAACTGTAGTGGGGTCTGGTCACTGGTTCCCTCCTCTAATCCTGGTGGTGCACCTGGGGTCCTGGATGGATTCAATTGCTCGGCATGGAGCAAAGAAGATGGATTCCCATAGTGTAGTATTTAATGGTATTTATTATGAAGGATGAAATTAAAATAGTAGATAATACACATACAATCAAATTGGGTAGATATATCCTGGGTATTGTGTAGGTAAGATAAAACAGTAATGGTATTGCTGTATGTACACTAACCAGCTGGAGTGTGAATATGGCCGCCGGACCTCCATGATCCGGCGGCGTGACATCACGGCATGTATGGGCTCCTCTTTTAAGGAGAGGATCCTGTTCCAGGCTGTACCGTCAAGGGAACCATCTGCTCCTGGTTCATCTGATCTTTGCGCATTAAGATTGCGCTTCCGGTGAGTGGGCAATCTTTCCATATCTTATCTGATCACACGTCACCGGATTTCCAGATTTAAGCACACGGGGAGTTTTTATAATACCGGTCCAGTATTTACCAGTGGGAATAATTACCACCAGCAGATTGACTAACTCTGGACATTATACGGTATATTGTATTTTATCTATGATTGGCTAGTTTCTCATATATTGGCCAATATTTGTTTAGCGCTGCACTACATTTATGATCTATTCAATTGAGAAAGTTTGTGGTTACTTTTTTTGGTGCATTAGCTGCCACAGTAAGCTCTCGCTTTACACTCTTGGTTCTGGTATTTTTATAGCGCCAACAATTTACACAGTACTTTCCATATTTATTTTACATTCACATCAGTTCCCACCCTTAAGGAGCGTACAATCCCTAACTCACATTCATACATACACATAATGGGGCCAAATTAGACCGGAGCCAATTCACCAACCAACTTGTCCTTAGAGTGTGGGAGGAAACTGTACTGCAATGGTTAAATGCTTGTTTAGGTCTAGAAGGGAAAATCAGTTTTACTTACCAGATCCACTGCTCCTCCAGCAGACTACACACCCCATGCACCAGCAGTGGACTGTTCTGGCTATAGTTACACTAATGATGGAATCATTCCATTACCTTGGAGTAATGATTTATGCTGCCCTTGGGGCTAAATGTACACTGGGTGTTTAGTCCCTGTGTGGCAAATCCCAGCATTTTTGTGCAGCAGGAGGCACAGGTGTAGCTTCCAGCCTAGCTGCCAGCAGCCTGTCAAAATCTATGACTGGCTGAAATATTTCCCTGAATACATACGTCATAGATTTTGACAGGTTGCTGGCAGTGGAGAGTGTGGGGATTAGATACACATAGGCTAAACACCAATTGTACATGAGGCTTCAATCTGAATTTTGTTTGATCCAGATTCCAGAGAACACTTAAACCACACCACACGTGTTACAATCTGACTGCACAATGTCCTTTAGATTTACCACCTACTTTGGTGACGTGACCTTCTCAGGAGGCAGCTGGGAAGAAAGCACTGGCTACATCACCAGTGCCTCAGGACAGGTGAAACTAAAAAAAAAAAAAAAAAGTATGTATGTTTGCCAAAGTGATAGCATTTGCACTATAAGTGTATATGTGTTTACTGCTGAACATGCAGAACATGCTTTTAGTGTTTTTGGGGCAAAGGTCCATTTTAACATTTGCATAAATGAGATATATAACAAGTATGTTTGTGTATTATTGTGACCTTCACAATAATTAATTTATTAAAAAGGAACACAATGTGTTTTACAGAACCAGGCCCAGCTGCACCCTGCCCAGACAAGGTGGTGTTCTGTCATCCTGTGCGATTGTCTTCTCCAGCATTACCATTCCAGGGAGGAGTGGATTTCCAACAAGATGGCAGCTTGGTGTGTGTGAGGTACAAAGGGGAGTCTGTCAGAATCAACCAGAGTTATTTCAGCAAATTGGTAAGCAACATGTCTTCCTATTAATGATACACACCTTGTGATTGTCATTTGAGAGTTACTATACTCCCATATCTTCTGGTTGCTTTTGCAGTTCCAGCTTTATCGCCTCAGTTGTACGGATGACCCAGGGTCAGAAAAGTTCATGTCTCGTGTATGGTGTCTCCTGCGAAGATATCAGGTAACTACAACAGATGCAGTTCTGTTTGATTCATATAGAAGGTATATATTTAAGGAAATAAAAGATGCCTAACACAGTCTTGTTTATTGAAGGTGATGTTTGGGACAGCGCAGTATGAGGGTTCCGGTCTGCAGGGGGCACTTCCAGTCAGTGTTTTTCAGGCTTTGCACAAGATTTTTTGGTGTCACATCTGAGTGTTTCGCTTCCCCTCTGAACTGTTATTTCAAGCAGTACTGTTCTGCCTTTCCAGACACAGATGGATACTTTGGCTCCCGAGGGTAAGGATACATTGCAAGACACCATTCAGAGCCTGATTATTTAACTCAATACATTTTTGCTGAGTGCTCAGATAAATACCGACTTCAGAAAAGGTTCCTGCACTAATTTAACACGACTTTGAAACGGATTGAGTGCCACACAGTGTAAAAGTCCTTTCAAATACTTATCAAAGTCAAAATCCAAAGTTACACTGAAAGTTGAGCGACTTTGGAGTTGGCTAGTGTGAACTGAGCCTTAAGGGTATCAATACTGTACCTATATTATAAATATACATTTCTTTCTTTTTTACATTCTGTAGCACAAAATAAGCCTAGGTTCACATTTATATGGGAGTGGGAGTGCATGTAAATTGCACACATTCCCGCACCCACATTCAGCTGCACACAAAATGCGGTGCTGCCCAGAAAGCGTATGGGGGTGCCATTAACTCTTAAACTCTTGGCGTCGGCGCCTCCTGGCCGTTTAAGAGTTTCAGAAGCCGGGAGGTGGGGTTTTAGAGTCATGTGACTACAATGATTTGCCGTCACGGCGGTCACATGATCGGAAAAGATCCCAATCGAAAGGGGAGGTCGGGACCTTTCCAGGTGTCGCAGACATATGTGCTAGGAGCGCGCAGGGCGTGCGCTCTCAGCACATATGTAAGTTCTAATTGCACGCAAATATGCGGCCGCTCTGCGTCAAGGCCCAGACGCCAAGAGGCCGCATATTTGCGTGCGATCGGCGTCAAGGGGTTAATGGCACCCCCACACACTGAAAAACTTGGTGTGGTTTCCCGCACACCAATTACATGGTGCAAAAACACCATTCGATTTTTGTGCGACCGCAATTGCAGGGACCTTTTACCTGCAGAAAATGCAGACACAGTAGCCTATTCAAATGAATGGGTTTCCAAGCCCACACACCCGCAGCACGCATATATGTAAACCAGGCCTTGGTGTTAATTATAGTATTACTTTTTATTCAAGCAAGTATGAAATATTGCATGTAAAAGTTTCACATTACTGCTTTTATTCAGCAGGTGGAGCTCACTGCAAGGTCTATCCTCTATTCATTTTTTGCTTTTAGGCAGCTCTTCTGCTAAAAATAGGCCTAAATGAGTCAGAACAGTGTGCCCCTCCTCTTCTACTAGCAAAGAGCAATGTCTTCACTATTGGATTAAATATGTACAAAGACAAAACATTTTTTAGTGATAGCTTTCTAAGCTGTCTTTCCCTGAGATACACAAAAAAAAGGGATTTTAACATTATCCAAAACTAAAATCATTTTCGGCTTTTGGATATACTTTAACACAGTCTGACAGAAAGCATGAGGATATAAATATATAAAACACCAGTTTACTCACTTTTAACAGACATGTTAAAACAGTAAAACAGAATTGACTAAGCCCCTGGTCACATCGGGTGCGATTTGCATGCCTGGCGACTTGCAAATCGTATGCCAAGTCGCACCCTACTGTCTGCTATAAGAGCGGTCATATCGGTGCGGTTCCGACTTTTTCGCAAATCGCAATGAAATCGGCAGGTCACCCCGATTTTGAAATCAGGCAACTTCACTGTAAATCGCACAATTTCAAAATCGACTTTGATTTGACCGGAGTGTAAAACTATTTAATAGTTTCCCTTTAAAGCCCAACTCTGGACCCTGCACCTTCCACCTTGTGTTTCCCTGGCAGTATTTTATGCTTTGTGTGTTATATATGCACATGCACTATGTATGTAAAGAGAAGGTGAACAACATTTGCAGACAAAATGCTTAATGCCCACAACCTCAGCTCTGCCTTCTAGGCTCAATATTTTGCTGAAAATCCCGATAGAGGTTGCAGCATATACGTTGTAAAAAGTAAAATATATTTTCAAATTCCAAAAAGAGTCAAAACATGTTGGCAATGGTTTTGGGCAATAAGTCCTTTGTCATGCCAAAGGGATCTCTTTTTTTGACCTGACGAAGGGTTTATTGCTCGAATATGTTGCCAACATGTTTTACTCTTTTTGGAATTCTTATATTTAAAAAATATATATTGCATTTTTTTTTTTATCTACGCTGTGCAGTCCTAATTACTAGATATCCTCAGTCTTCTGAGTTGAATAACTTCCAATGACATTTAGCCCGGAAGACTAAGGAGATTTATTAATCTTGGACTTTAAAGGTGTTGTCAGTGTTGTGTGTGGATTTTTTTTTTACATATACAATGCAAGAAGATGTACTGTGTATCACCTTACAGATATACAGAGTGTGTTAGCTATCAGTCTGTTTAAATCATATCATTCTTATATTCTACCCATGAGGAGTTTAGAAATGTTTCAAATTACTTTGCCTTTTCAGTAAATAGTAATGTAATCAATGATTGTGATTAAAAATGTTTTCCTATTTTTTTTTTTTTTTTTATCCTAGGCCATGTCTTAGTTTTTTCCCAGTCAGTGGTTCCTTTGAGGCAAACCCTCCTTTCAGCGAGGAGTTAATGGATGCCATGGTTACACATTTTGAGGTGAATAGATAAGCTCATGCTGAATATTCTTTGCTATTGTGGTTATATTTTTTATTTATTTTTAATCAGACCTTTTTTTTTCTTTCAGAAACTGCTAGAGAGTTCAGATCAGCCCCTGTCTTTTATTGTCTTTATCCCTGAATGGAGAGACCCCCCTACTCCTGCTCTCACTCGCATGGAAGAAAGCCGTTTCAAACGTCACCAGGTGGTTCTCCCGGCCTTTCAGCACGAATACCGCAGTGGCTCCCAGCATGTGTGCAAGAGGCATGTATACCTGGAATATATAGACAGTCAGTTGCTGCAGGGCTTAGTTCTAAATTGGCCACAGATATTTATTTATTACAGGTATTTATGTAATTTACACAGTACTTTTCATATTGTACATTCAGTTCCTGCCCTCAGGACCCTACAGCCTAAGGTGCCTATCTCACATACAATGCACTCATAAAGTATTCAGACCCCCTTCACTTGTTTCAATTTTGTTAGAATGCAGTCTGATAAATTTAAATTTTTTTTTTTTTTCCTCGTTAATCTACACTTAGTACCCCATAATGGCAAAGTAAAAACAGAATTTTACAAATGTTTGCAAATGTATGAAATAGAAAAAACTGAAATATCACATTGGCAGAAGTATTCTGACCATTTGGAACAACACATGTCATTTCTCTTGATCATTGCTGAGCTGTTTCTACACCTTGATTGGAGTCCACCTGTGGTAAATTAAATTGATTGGACATGATTTGGAAAGGCACACACCTCTATATAAAAGGCATTACAGCTGACAATTCATACTGTGTCAGAGCAAAATCCATGAGGTCTGCAGAGCTCAGAGACAGGATTATTACAAGGCACAGATCTGGGGAAGGTTACAAAACAATTCTGCACTGAAGGTTCCCAAGAGTACAGTGACCAACATAATTCTCAAATGGAAGAAGGTTGGTACAGCTAGGACTCTTACAGAGCTGGTCGCCTGGCCAAACTAAGCAGACGGGGAAGATGGGACAAAGTTCCAGAAGGACAACCATCACTGCAGCCCTCCACGATCTGGGCTTTATGGCAGAGTGGCTAGACGGAAGCAAAACACATAAAAAGCCCGCTTGGAATTTGGAGAAAAAAAGCACCTGAAGGGCTCTCACATTGTGAGGAACAAGATTCTCTGGTCTGATGAAATGAAGATTGAACTGTTTGGTCTCAATTCTAAATGTTATGTATGAAGGAAACCAGATACCATTCATCACCTGCCCAATACCATCCCAACAGTGAAGCATGATGGTGGCAGCATCATCCTGTGGGAGTGTTTTTCAGCAGCAGGGACAGGTAGACTGGTCAGGGTTGAGGGAAAGCAGAATGGAGCAAAGAGATAGAGATATCCTCAATGAAAATCTGTTCCACAGCACTCTGGACCTCAGACTGGGCTGAAGGTTTACCTGCCAACATGACAACGATCCTAAGCACACAGCCAAGACAACACAGGAGTAGCTTACTGACGACTCTGAATGTCCTAGAGTGGCCCAGCCAGAGCCCTGACTTGAATCCTACTGAACATCTCTGGAATGTTTGTCACATCATACCCAAACACACTCGAGGGTGTTATTGCTGCCAAAGATGCTTCAACAAAGTATTGAGTAAAGGGTCTGAATAAGTAGATGTGATATTTCTGTTTTTTTTTCTTTTAAATACATTCACAGACATTTCTAAAATTCTGCTTTCAATTTGTTATTATGGTGTACTGTGTAGATTATTGAGAAAAAAATTTAAATGACTGTAATATCATTTTGCAACATAACAAAACTGAAAAAAGCTAAGGGGGTCTGAATACTTTATGCATGCACTGTACATACATATACATAATAGGGCCAATTTGGACTGAAGCCAATTAACCTACCAGTATGTCTTTGGAGTGTGTGAGGAAACCCATGCAAGCACAGTGACACTGGACCAAAGTTCACACTAGACATCATTTATAGAGCTATCTAACAACAAAACTGTGTATTTTGTGCATATTCGTGTCATTTCAGATGTATCTACAGTATAGCCATTTTATTTTTTGTTTTAGACAGCGTGAGCTAGAAACTTTTTTTTTTTTTGCTTTCTGTATCCTCACTAGGGAGATTGACACTTACTATTTGTCCTGGTAATTATTGTCACTGGGACTGAAAGTAAGGCAAAATCCAAATCGTCAAATCTTCATTGAAACAGACATTTTACAAGGGGGGGCACTTGTTTCAGTGACAACTATCTAAGAGATCTTCTCTCACGTTCTACTGTGCCTATGTAAATGGGGCGGGACACAGACAGCAAGGAAAAGCTTGACAGGGATTGTAACCAATGTTTATCAAAAAAGTGAAACTCAATCAGAGGTGCAAATATGATGTCTGAATAAATAAAGATAATATCAGCCATCTTATGGTATTTGCTGTTTTCATTTGAAATGGTTGAGTAATGTTCACCTCATTTTTTGTTTGTTTTTTTAACATTGTGTGAGTATGCGTGGGCGAGAAGGTTAGATTGGCGGTGGTATTACAGTAAAGTCAGCATTTATCCTCAGTGACAACATGATGTTCCCCTGTGCCCTATTACTACAGAGACAGATATCCCTAGATATCTATAGACTGGCTTTCTCTGTAATTCTGTTTGATCTGGATCGTTTTTAACTGTGTTTTTTTTTTTTTTTTTTTTCTCTCTTGTTTATTCTTTCAACAGAGAAGAGCTGTACTACAAAGCTGTACACAATACAGCTGTGCTGTTTCTTCAGAACGAGGCTGGATTCCTGAAGTGGTCCCCCACTGCAGAGCGTGTGCAGGAGCTATGTACAGCATACAAGCACTCCGGAAGGCTGTCCAACTCCTCGGGGGCCACTGAGAAAGAGTCCTCCCGGGAGGAAGGCACAAGCAAGGACAGTATGAATAACTAGAGGCACAGTTTTGTAGCAGATTTTTCCCAGTCCCATGGGTGTAGATGCCCTAATCAGTAGGGCACAGCATAATTCTCCAGTGCTATAGGACACGCTCAGAGGCAAAACACATTCCTCCTGTTTACTGTATAGCAGACTATGGGGATACTGCAGTCAGAGAGGACAAGTTGTGGTCCTACATTACTCCACTTAGAGATTATTTGTGTTTTCTCAGTTTTAAAGAGCTGAGTGACCCTTTTATCCTTCTTGAAGGCATTATCATAGTCTGAACAGTATTAAATGGTGGGTGCTGATGGTGTATCCAGTTACCATACTTGGGTTTCCTGCCTTTATAGGGAAATGCAGTTTTCAGCACACTACCGCATGAATGTGAGGAGGCCAAACTAGCCTACGTGAAGATTTTGGAGAGAGAAAACGTTCCTGCATTTGATAATGTGTGTGGTGCACTACTCCTGTGTATGAAGTTGTGTATATAGACACTGCTCATTACTAAGGGGATTGTCTCTAGCTTTCCCATGTACATAGTTCTGTGTATCTGCTTTCTGCAGTATCTTTGTGTTGTGTTACTTCTGGGAGAGATGTAGAGTTCTGCATGTTTTACTCTCCACCTCCTTGTGTGTGTGGTTTCCTGGTATTGTGATTGGTGCACGTTGTTTATGTGCTAATTATTTCTTGTAATTAATTTAATGTCTAACTGTTTTATTACTTATATCAAACAGTAAAAGTTTATTTTTGATTTCTGTCTCTGAGTATTAAGTACAAAGGATGCAACTCAATAAGGAACACCTATTCAATGCATGCATACAGGGGAGTATGTGACAGTTTCGTAGAACCCACAACCTAATATCCCTTAGGACAACTATCATAAACGCTGCCTACAGCAGACCTGGAGCACGCAGCATATACAATCTATAGAGAAACACCTGCTAATTGACTTACATCAAATATTACATGAGACTTAAAGGTCAGCACCCAGGTAGGCTGTGGCATTCCTCTGTGTTTGTTACACCCACCTGCTGTTCCCCGTGATATGTCTGCTTGATGTCTGCGTGAAGCTCTGCTGTGTTTTTATTTTACAAGCCTGTGCTTGTTTTTTCAAAGATGACACAGGGACCTTTAAAGAGACCTTGTAACCAAATAACAACTAATGTAGGTGAAAACACAGAAAATTAAGTATTTTAAGTACTTACTTGCAGTATTTTTCTTTTTCATAAATGATTCAGTATTCACTTGCAATGTGCCTTTGTACTTGCTAGAAAATGGTATTACCCCTAGAAGAGACAATTCCCTAGCACAGCCCCCTCCCTCCTGCCATGTCATAGCCCACTCCTTTTCTGGGAGTGTCGAATTACTCTCTGGGCTGGCCCAGGTCCTATGCTCCTCCTCCTCACCTCTCATAATAACTTTTTATGTAGATGCCTGGGAAGGAGCGTAGGGGATTACAAGATTACAATAGTGTGTTACTTAAAGTGGTTTTAAACCCAAAAGCAAACATTTATTATATTGCAGCTTGCCATTTCTTGGATGCGATGGTTGAATTAAATTTCTTGTTTAGGCTTTCTTTTTTTTTTCTTCTGGTGATCCAGTAAGTCTGTTTTTTTTTTTTTTCAAAAGAACAAGCTCCTCAATATAATGTATCTGTTACAGAGATGAGACAAACCATTTAAAATGATCAGAGGTGCTTACAATGATCAGCTTTCATTTATGTAAAACATAAACACCAAAAGGAAAAAACTGTTTGCTGTAACTGCTTATACAGTATTAGCAGGAGTTTGGCTTAAATTTGTTAGTATATCTAAATCTGCTAGTACATCTACCTCTCCCTTCCCTCCCAGACTGACAATGCTGCTGTCCAAAGGTGCCCCTGTTCTCCTTCATCCAGAGTGGGGGCATTCTGCTACAGGAGGTGTGCTAATGGTCAGATCACCAGGTGAAAACAAAAGGGAAAAAAAAGCCTAAATAAAGAAAAATAAATGCAGCTACCAAATCTAATGATTGGTAAGCTGCAATAGATTACATTTTTGGTTATGGGTTTAATACCGCTTTCAGTGACAGCTCTGACTCTGCTGGAGGTGCTGACACATTCAAGATGTCTACACAAGGGAGGTTTTTTTGTACAGGTTAATTACATGCATAAAAATATGTTAAATACACATACTATGTGTTATTATAAGAAGATAGTTGAAATTAATGGTCTGGTGACAGGATTCAGGCAACGATAGAAAATTACTTTTCTACCAATTATGAATTCATTAAAAATAATCCTGGTAGTAATAGTATCTAAATTGGGTATTTCTGTCAGCTTCCCATAAATACTAGAACTCAGGCTAAGAGGGATAGGCAGTACTGTATTATGAAGCCGTTAGAATATTTCACCTTGCTGGGTGCTGTGAGTCTAAAATATTTTACATGCTGGGGGCTTGCATACCGGAGGGGATCATAAAGGGATCACCCCATGAAATGTCAGACCACACTGTGGAATCAGCAGGCTGTAACAGAGAAAAGTGAGGTCATTTCTCTAGGCGTTCAGTTTAATAGGGGTGTTTAAATGTAATATAATTATTGTGGTAATTAAAACAGTTTGTATATAAAAAGAACAACCATGTTCTTCTGGAGTTCAGTTTTTGTAATGAGATAATACAAGGTTATTTATTAGGTCATTCCTCCAGAATAAAATGGTACATTCCCCAGTCTGACCATGTGAATCATTGTTATAGAAAATGCTTTTAAACGAAGACCAGTGATAAATCATACCTGACGTGACAGATATTTCATTGTTAATATGAGGATTCATTTTAACATACATCTTTATCACAAACAAATATCTATTTATATTGAAGATGAATAAATGGATTTTTCTTATATTCTTTTGTGTCAATATTGAATAGATGTCAGGCTACACCCTCAGAAAAAGACAAAATTGGGAAATTAAATGATTACAGACACGACTTCATAAACACAAGCAATTATTTTCCCTTTATAAAGCAAAATTTAAACAACCCTCGCCAGAAGTTAAAAAAGGCTTGTTAATTCCCAGAGGACGCAGTGCACATAACACTTGCATCCGTTTAAAAGCTGTGCTGTGGTTTGGAAGTAACATGTAATTTTAATCTATGCCAGTGCTGGCTGTTGCTCCACCCCAGGCAGAAGCCCAAATTATGAGCATTCGTATGTAGGAGGTACAGGCAGCCATGAAGCCACAGTCCCTCTCCATCCTGCAGCCCTATACCTCACCTTTTCCCTTTGTACTGATCGAAGACTGAGACCTCAACCTCCTGCAGCTGCCAGCTGGTTCGAAGGAGATTACTGTGGTAGTAGCTGGTGGCTACTACATTAGTCTTTCTCTGATAAACGTAGGAGTCCGGTGTTTTTGTGAATACCAGCTCTCCACTCTGGCTGCCATTGTTCACAACACAAGCCACCAGCTACCACTGTGTTAATCTCTTCCAGACTAGCTATCAGATGCGAGAGGTTGCAGTCCTTTATCAGTATAAAGGAGCAGAAGAGGCACAGGGCTGCATGGCAAGGAGGGCTGCAAATGTTCCATTGGCGGCATTCAGAGGAGGTGGGGCTCTGTATCTGTACCGCCCCTTTTTCTCTATGCACTGTCTATCAGAAGTAATTATTTGTTTTCTTGCTCCAGTGTGGTCAGATAGTAGTGAGGGGAAGGGTCCCCCCCGGGCAGGGAGCTATCCCACCAAGCTGCTCAGCATCTGCAGTACAGATTTTAACAGACATATGTGCTTTGTGGCTGGGTCATCTGGATGATTTAACAAGCCTTTCTTCTAGTAATCTCCTGTAATCGTTACAGTGGCAGCAAAGACAAGGTTAAGAAAGAATCAGGAGCAGGTGTCACTACATAAGCAACCTCAAAAAATGTAGTAGTCTGTCACTTTAAACTTACTGCAGTCTGTGACAGTTCATTGTTGGCGACAGTTGATCACCACTGTGTATGCGTTTTTTCTTAATTGTACATCACAGGACACAGAAGAGTTAATTTGTAGGCTATTGGGCTATGCTCCACCTCCAGGTGATTGAACACTGACAAATAGCAAAGCTTTCCTGTGAAACTATCTGATGGATGTTCAGGCCTCCGTGGATGCAAGCCTTGGTCAAAAGTCCTCCAGACTTCTTTTGCTTATTTCTCGTTATCTTATTGTCCTACATTGTAAGCTCCAAGGGGCAGGGCCCTCAAATCCCTCTTGTATTGAACTGTATTGTTACTGGATTGTCTCCCGTTATATTGCAAAGCGCTAAGCAAACTGTTGGTGCTATATAAATCCTGTATAATAATAATTGTTATGAGGTTTTCCTGGGGGGCCTGTTAGCCATTGTTTGCTGTTTTATTGTCCCTCAAGGAATTTCTTTTGGGCACCAAGAGATTGTCTGCAGCTAAGTGGCCTGCCTATGGCAGATAGGGGGTTTTTGCACCAACTACAGTTGCAAAAAAAAGTATGTGAACCCCTTGGGATTACGTGGAGTTTTGCATGAATTGGGCATAAAATGTGCTCTGAACGTCATCTAACTCACAACAATAGAAGAACACAGTCTGCTGAACATAATACTACACAAACATTAGATGTTGCCATGGTTTAATTGCACATAACATGTAAACATTCACAGTGCAGGGAGGAAAAAAGTATGTGAGGCCCTAGCTTAATGACTTCTCCCAGAGCTTATTGGAGCCAGGAGTGAGCCAACCTTGACTCCTATCAGTGTGATGATATTGGATGTGTTGCTGACAGCTGTCCTGCCCTTAAAAAACACACACCTGTTTTGGGTTTACTGGTTTCAAGAAGCACTGTCTGATGTGAACCATGCCTCGCAGAAAAGAGCTCTCAGAAGACCTACGATCAAGAATTGTTGACTTGCATGAAGCTGGAAAGGGTTACAAAAGTATCTCCAAAAGCCTTGATGTTCATGTGTCCACGGTAAGACAGAGTGTCTACAAATGGAGAAAGTTTAGCACTGTTGCTACTCTCCCTAGACGTGGTCGTCCC